TTGCCCGACAGGGCTGGTGCCACCGGATGTTAATATCCTGAAATGAAAGGCGCGATACAAATGTAATTTTGATGTTGTCGTTGTTGAATCCTGGTGCTTGTTTATTTTAAACAAGAAAAAAATTGGCACTTGTATCGGCAAACATTGCCAACTCATTAACAATCAAACACATTCTCTGGAAAGAATGCCAAACAGTTTACGGAATCCACATCCTTCTTTTCTCTCGCCCCCGAACAATTTCCAGGAACGGTTCTGTGTCAGTACCAAGAAACAAATCAGTTATTGATCTCCTCAGGTTATCTTTAAACGTTGGAAAGCAAAGGGAAATTTGATCACTGTCATTACAACAGGTCACCAAATAAAATAATAATCCTTGCATTTGGCATAGCGCCTTTCATGTCAGGAGGATATCTCAAAGATAGGATATACAGTGAAGTGCAGTAACTGTGGGCAAAAGACGTAGTTGGCCTGACATAGTGAAGCTTTGCTTCATTTACTTTTGACAAATTTCAAGGTAACTTTCAAGGTAACTTTCGTCAGAATATTTCAAGGTAACTTTCGTCAGAATATTTCAAGGTAACTTTCGTCAGAATATTTCAAGGTAACTTTCGTCAGAATATTAGATGTGTTGGATTTAAACCATGAATGAACACCTTCCTACCTCTCCAACCAGCTCACATGCCACTCCATATCCGCCCTGCTTACTCAGCTTGCTCCAGCCTTCTGCATGTTCCTCATCCCCTCCACTCTCCCATCAAGGGCTTCTAGCCACTATGCCCCGAAACTCGGAACTCTCTCCCTCAATCCCCTTGTCTTGCCTCCTCCTTGACCATCTTCAGATCACAACAGAAGACCTTTCTTTTGACCAGTCACCTGCCCCCTCTCCCTAGCTCAGCATCACGTTCTGCCACAGTTAAATGTTCTAAGACAGTGCCCGTGCGAAGGGCGTTATATAAAGACAAGTTGTTGTTGAATTTGATCTGTGGAAGGAATGTTCTTGATGGGCTGATTGCCTTGTTCAGGCACTTGACCTCATGGTTCAGGGTGATGGTGCAGTGCTGGAAGGAGGGAGATGGAGGTGCTGCATTTTACAGGATGTCCTGTGGAGTGCTTTGTGATGTCTCGACAATGTGATAAGGCACTATATAAAAATCATAGCAAAGATTCTTATTATTATTATTGCTGTGTGCAAATTGTCTGCTGCATTTGCCTGCGAATACACTGTCACAACACTTTACAATAAAATCCCGTGAAGTGCTTTGAGAAGTCGTGATGACATGATTAAGGTGCTATATCAAGTGCAAGGATTATTATTATTTATTATATTGTTACTGCATATCAGTTCTGCTGTCATGTCTAAGGAACCTCACCAGAACCAAGACTATACAGTGGCCGTGGAGATGCCAATCACCTAGTAATAGTGCATGCATGGTAGAAGAGATAGGGAGGTAAGATAATCACCACTGCATAAAAATTATTTAAGCTTCACAAGTTATCTCAAACTCAAACGGAGTGACGCTGCCATCTTGTGGCTACGAGAGGAATAACATTGCTGGAGTCCTGTAGCTCAGTGGTTAGAGCACTCGCTTTGCAAGTGAGAGACCTGAGTTCAATTCCAGGCAGAGGGCGAAACCTTGGGCAAGTTTCCTTACTCCATACAGAGCCTAATAATAATCCCTCCAAAACCAAAAACAATAATAAATTGGTCATTTTCAATCTACGACTGTTTGTGGGACATTGCTGTGCGCAATTGGCTGCCGCGTTCGCCCACAAATATACAGTCAATTCACTTTACAGTGTGTTCTGTGAAGCGCTTTGGGACGTCCTCCCGACATGAAAAGCGCTATATCAAATGCAAGGATTATTATTATTATTATTATTGCTGGTAAAATGGTCTCACTGTCACAACAGAATGAATGTCTGTCTCACCAGAGTACTGAGCAGACACTCGGCAGGAATGAATAATATTGGACCGAAATCACAGTTAAAAAGAAATGTTTTTAAAGAATTTTGAAGGAAAGGCAGTAGAAGCAAGATGAAAATATTTTGAAAGAGAGAGTGACATTCTCCCACAAAATACACAGCCCATTCGCTTTACAGTATATCTTGTGAAGCGGTTTGAGACAGCTCGACGATGTGAAAAGGCGCTGTATCAACAACAACAGCAACAACAACAAGATTACATTTGTATAGCGGCTTTCACATCGAGAGAACGTCCCAAGGCGCTGGACAATGTACAGCAGTTCAGACCCGAGCTGGGGTCAGGAGGGAGGAGGGAGGGGAGGGGAAGTGATCGATGGCATGGTCAAAGAGGAGGGTCTTGAGGCAGGACTTTAAGGAGGGGGCGAGATGGAGTGATTGAGGAATGGAATTCCAGAGGTTGGGGGCAGAGTGGCTGAAGCCTCTCCCGTCAATGGTGGGGCGGGTGGGTCGGGGGACGTGGAGCAGGACGGAGTCAGCTGAGCGGAGGGAGCGGGCGGGTTGGTAGGGGGTTAGAAGGTCGCAGAGGTAGGGTGGGGCGAGGCCATTGGAGGGCTTTGTAGGTGATGACCAGGATCTTGAACTGGTTCCTCTGAAGGATAGGGAGCCAACGGAGTCGGGCGAGAGTGGGGGAGATGGGGTCGCGGAGTTTGGTACAGGAGAGAACATGGGCTGCAGAGTTCTGGATTATCTGCAGCCTGTGGAGGGAGGAGTTGGGAAGACCGACAAGCAGAGCGTTTGCATAGTCGAGCCTGGATGAAGGCATGAACAAGAGCTTCAGCGGCCTGAGGGGTGAGGTAGTGGCGGAGTTGGATGATGTTACGGAGGTGAGGGAAGGCAGAGCGGGTCATGGCTTGGATGCCACTACCTCACTCCCAAAACATCTGAAATCATTATCCATGCCTTTATCACCCGCTGACTCAACCTCTCCAACGCCCTGCTCATCTGCCTTTCCAGCTCCACCCTCAATAATCTCCAGGACATACAGAACTCCTCAGCCCTGCACAAGGCTCCTCAAGCCCATCAAACCCCATCATCCGCAGGCTCCATTAGCTCTCCATTTCCCAGCTAGTTCACCTTAATAAAACTACACCTGGGGTAGTCTTGGAGCGCTTAACCTTGGTGGAGCTTGGCACCGGGCCTGGGGGAATGGGGAGTTGACGATAGGCACAGTTGAGAGGAGGATCTTCAGTGGAGATTTAAAAACAGTGCGGGGGTGCATGGCGGAGGAATTGAGGCATGGAGTTTCAGAGTAATACCCTTGCGCCATCGTATCTCTGCTAATTCTTGTTTTCCTGCTCAACCGGTCATTCCCTTCGCTCCAAGCCTTATTCAAGATATATAATGTGGGGGTCGGGCCACATCTAGAGTACTCCATACAGTTCTGGTCTCCATGACATGAGATGGTTGCCCAGGCACTAGAGGCAGTGCAGAAGAGAGCAACAAGGAAGATCTCCAATGTTAGAGGGATGAGTTTCATGAGCAACAATTAGATAAGCTAGGGCTCGGAGGGGCCCTTTATAGAGGTGTATAATATTTTGAAGGTGATTGAAAAAGTATACCCAGAAGAATACTTTAGAATTCAGCAATAGAATAAAACAAAATAGGTTTGGAGTTACAAAGGGCAATTTCAGAACAGGCACCAGGAAGTATTTATTTACCTAGAAAGTAATTAACAACTGGAACAGATTATCAGGAAGAGTGGTTATAATAATAATAATAATCCTTGCATTTCATATAGCACTTTTCACGTCGGGAGGACGTCCCAAAGCGCTTCACAGAACACACTGTAAATTGAATTGACTGTATATTTGTGGGCGAACGCGGCAGCCAATTGCGCACAGCAATGTCCCACAAACAGTCGTAGATTGAAAATGACCAATTTATTATTTTTTGGGGGGTTTTGGAGGGATTATTAGGCTCTGTGTGGAGTAAGGAAACTTGCCCAAGGTTTCGCCCTCTGCTGGAATTGAACTCAGGTCTCTCGCTTGCAAAGCGAGTGCTCTAACCACTGAGCTACAGGACTCCACTGTAGCTGGTTGAGATCCACTGGTTGAGATCACAACACTGAATTCACTTATAAAAACAGCTTTGATACTGAGATAGGAAGACGAGAGAATGGGTATTCAGAAAGGATTAGACCGAGACTTGAAGTCGTCCCAAAGCACTTCGTGGCAATGGGCAAGTTAGCTGGGTAGAAGGGGAGGTGAGCAGGGGAGTGGGGGTCGGAGAAAATCACATAGAGGTGCTGGGGCACGGAGGAACTGCTACGTGAAATCAACCCACTTGGGAGACGGGGAACCAGCGGAGTTTGGTACGGGCGAGGATACGGGCCGCACAGTTTTGGGGAACACAACAATAATAATAACCCTTGCGTTTGATACGGCACCTTATCGCCTCGCTTCGCAGGGATACGCCGCAAAGCCAGGGCCGACGGCGTATTTTGCAGGGCAGAAGGGGGGCAGCCGATGGCGCACGGCGTTGCCCCCTCCCGCAAACAGTCGTAGAAGGCGCTAGAGCTTTTGCGGAGCCATCGCTCATCGGATTTGAAACTGTCAGCTGCCCAGTGACCGGGGCTTTGAGACCGGTCCTGTCCTGAGTGAAAGGAGCCATACAAATGTGAACGTGTGGTGTATCCATTGCCAATCACCCAAAAAAAGGTGAATGGAGGAGCCCCGCCCTCTTTGAGTGACAAGACAAAGGGCGATGACGTCGTTAGCGCTCAGCCCCGCCCCCTCTCTCTTTTCTTTGCCTCCGGCAGCGGCGAAAGCTAACCGCGTCACGTGATCCGAGCGGCCGGGAACTAGGCGACTTCACGGAAGGTGCGGAAGGCGAGCTCAGCGCCACGTGATTGGGGGCGGGCGGGGGGGGGAGGAAAGAAGAAAAAAAGGAGCGCAGGCAACCCGAGCTCGGCACGTGATCGGGGGTGAGCGAGCGTGCGGCAGCAGAGCGGCTTCAAGTGGGAGGAGGGCTGCGATTGGTCGGCGGCGGGCGGGCCCGGATGCGGAGGAGAGGCTGTCACTTTGCGGAAGCGCGCGGCGGTGCGACCGTTGGTCTCGGAACTCCCTCGAAAGCTCAAAAAAAAATTTTCACACACCCGCGAAACGCATCCACGGTTAAACGGTCGCCGTTTAAACGCCGCTCGAGTCCGACAATGGCCAAGAACACGACCACCGCCAAGTTTCGCAACGTGGACGTGGATTTGTACGACGACAACAAGTACGTGGACGATGAGGAAGGAGGCGAGAACCAGTCGGGACCCGACTCGGCCGAGGTGGACGCGTGTATCAGGCAATATCCTTTATAAAAACAGCGGCTCCGGCCTCCCACCCCCTCCCCACCCACCCACGGCCTGTCCTCGGAGACACCGCCGGCGGGAATGAGTATTAATGAGAGAGGCCGAGTGTGTGTGTGTGAGTGTGTGTGTGAGGGTTGTCGCTTCCAGCTGCTTGGCCGCTCAGCTCAGGGCGTGGTTTCTTTCTCATCCCAGCGGAGGCGCCTTACTTCTCCCCCTCCCCCCCCCCCCCCCACCACCCCCCACCCTCCGCCCCTCTCCAAAAAAAGTTTCTACGTTGGCAAGTTTCTTCACTGTGTGAGATTTCAAGATTTTTTGGGGGGGTTTCTTCCCCCCCCCTCACCACCCCCCTCCCTCACCCCCCAAGAAATAACTCGAGGAAATCACGATAAAAAGGTTTGTCATCTCTCTCCAAAAGCCATTTGAGGAAATGGTTTTACAGGGTGACTTCCATTGAATGATTTCACCCTCTTCCTCTCCTCCTTCGACGTGAATGATGTCCTGTTCAGTTGGGAGGCTTCGTCAGTCTGACGATCTGATGGAGAAATTGGAGAAAATGTCTGTTTCTTTCTCTCCACCCCCCCCCCCCTCCCCACCACCATCAGAGTATGTATACAAATCTCCTCATTTGATATAGTGCCTTATTACCATTGGTGGCTGCGCTTTCAGCCATTACGCCCGAGACTCTGGAACTCTTCCTCTATCCCTCCTTGTTGCCGTTTCCTTCCCCATTTTCAGGGTTAGAAGACCTACTTCTTCTTCGACCGCGCCTGTGGTCACCGTCCCCTTCTCCCTGGCTCCGCCATTGTCAAGTGCTCTGTGTGCGACCCTGCGTGAGGGGCGTGATATAAATGCAAGTTGCTGTTGTTGTTCACGTTATTGAAACGTCTCAAAACAATTTCATAGGAGTTGCCGTGTATGTGTAAATGAATTTAGAGCAACCAATATGCGTGCAACAGTGCCCCACAAAATCAACCATGAAGCAAGCGACCAGTCTTATCTGTGGTTGTTTTTTGGCCAGGACACCGAGAGAAACTCCCTCTATTTTTGAATAGTGCCCTGGGGTCCTGAGCATCCACCTGAACAGGCAGATGATGCCTCGTCAGTTCTAACGTCTCGCCCAGAAAAGATTACCTCTGACAATATAGTGCTTGTCCAGCACTAGATTGGACTGTCAGTCTAGTTTGTGAGTAAAAAGTTATGATTTCCCCCAACAACCTCCTGGCTCAGATGAGAGCCAGGTTGGTACCACAAGGAAGAAATGTGTGCACCTGTGTCTGCTGCTAATTTCTGGTCATATTTCTTAGTTTTAGTCTGGTCATGATTTGTAGTTTTAGTTATTGTTTATCACGAGCCTGAAGTCATGGGTGCAACCATTGTAATGGTTTTAACATTTGTCTTGCATACATTCTTCACAAGTTTTTTTTGTACTTAAATCATTTTTCCACATCGGTGGGTTCATGTCCCACCTGAAATGTTACTGAAGACCAGAAAGGCTTCAATAGTTAGTCTGTGCTGAGTCTTCTGATACAGAATACTGGGGCAATACTAGTGGAGTTCCAAGGTTGAAGAGCGTACACATTGTGTTTCTGCGTGTAATTCCTGCAGAGAAATACATGTGTGGATTTTGGAAAATGAAAAGATTGGGCTTGACTGTGATGCTCATGTGATTGATTCAATAATAATAATTATTATTATTGCCTCTATCTGGGTTTACTCAATAAGATCAATATTTGAGTAAGGCAGTGGAGACTACTCACCCCTGTCAAGCCATAATCATAACTGCCGCACTCTGGAGAGGAGAAAAAGTTGAGGTGGAGACTTTCAAACTAATAATAATAATCCTTGCATTTGATATAGCGCTTTTCACGTCGAGAGGACGTCCCAAAGCGCTTCACAGAACACACACTGTAAAGTGAATTGACCTGTATATTTGTGGGCGAACGCGGCAGCCAATTGCGCACATCAATGTCCCACAAACAGTCGTAGATTGAAAATGACCAATTTATTATTTTTTTGTTTTGGAGGGATTATTATTAGGCTCTGTGTGGAGTAAGGAAACTTGCCCAAGGTTTCGCCCTCTGCCTGGAATTGAACTCAGGTCTCTCACTTGCAAAGCGAGTGCTCTAACCACTGAGCTACAGGACTCCACAAGTTTATTTGAATACAAAACTTAATATGTGAAATTTTATATTTCTGCTTTGTGTGATGTAGAGTGCACTGTCCCAATACTTCAGAATTGCACATAATGTGAGGTGTTGCAGGGTGAACAAGACGCTTTGACAGCGATGGTAAACCATTTAGAATTGGATCGTAGTGCTGGGAAATTGCATTGACCTAGAGTTTTCAAGTAACCATTTCCAATACCGATTGTTTTGTGAGTCACTAGTTTTTTAAAAAATCTTTTGTAGTGTTGGCTTGGCTTTCATTAAATTGTTTTCTCTTGAATCTTGGAACCTTTTTTTTCCTAGCGGACTTGCTAAGTGTTGCAGGACACGTCAACTGTTCTTCAATAAATTACGCTTTCACAAGCTATGATGCCTGTGTTGCGCTGGGTACCAGTCATATCTCACTGTTGACATTGCAGCCTTTACGTGCAATGGAAGGTTGCAAATTTAGAAATTTGACTGGAAAACAGCAAGTTTCTCTTAATTTTTTACTTTGCACCTCAGGGAAAGGTGCCAAGATTTATATTGAAAGAATGCAACTGTTGGGGGTAATATTCTTTTAATAGTGTACTCTGTGTGCTGCATTTTTTTCAGGTCTGTCCTGCTTATTTTTAAAAGTAATGATGAGCTGCCATCATGTTTTTGTAGTATACGTCGGGACGTCCTCTTGATGTGAAAGACACTTTACAAATTTGCTTTTGCTGCATACTATATAGTACTATACTATAGTTTGGCATTGCTGTAAAGTGGAAGTTTGTTGCAGTTGAACTAAATGTCACTGATACATCTTAGGTTTTGAAGGTATTCCTGGCCTGCACAGCAAGACTTTAATGTATCAAGCACTCGATGACACCATAAACCCAGAGAGTTTACTGGCACAATCTATTTGGGCTGAAAGACCTGTTTCCTTACTGTATCACACTATGTAACTTTTGCATTTATAAACTAACTCATTTGCATTTTCTGATGAATCAAAATATTGTCATTTCCTACACTTCTTATTTTGCTACAGTATGACAGAAATTGAAAGAAGAACCCTTTGAATCTGTTTTTATAAACAGAATATTCAAAAATCAAATGAGGATTAGACCATTTATACTGACTTTTTTTTATAAATCACTCAATGGACCTTCCTTAGTCATAGAATCAGTTCTGTTTTTCTCCAGTTAATAACTCCTTTAAGTCTGAAAATCTGTTTCATTTAAAAAGTCAAGTCACCATTTTAATGGTAAAGGAGTGCTAGTTATTTTTTGCTGAAGCAGGTTTTTAGATTATTGACTACTGATGAAAGTTAAATCCATGTGGTAAGTAGATTGATATTTGAGAATAAGACAGATTGAATGGGGCAAGCCTGCACAGAGATGAGCAGTCCAATAACAATGAAACTGAACCTCATTTCAAGTTAGTTATAACATAATTTGCTTTACCTTGTTGTGTCATTGTAACCCTATGACTTTGGCAGGCGAAGCGAACCAAAGGACATTTCTTTTGAGGATTGAAGATCTAATTATCTTTACTGGCCATCAGTGGTCTGAGAGTGGCATCCACTAGCACTAGCCCAGAGTACAGTGTTTAGATTTGTTTTACCTGTACTGACCTTCCCGGCCATTGGGGAGGCCGTAGCAGCATGAAATGAAGTTATGAATTGTAACTTCAGTGCACGCACAAGCTTTCTGTGGAATCTGTCCTGCATTATAAATTGGGTGTATTCCCCAGCACTGGGACCTTCAGCTAATATTTAAATTGCTTCATGTTTTGGAAGAGAAAACACTAAGAGAATCTGGTCTTCCCAGACGTCTTTATATAGGCATTTAAGCAGTTTTTTTTCACAGCAACTTGAAGGCATAAAGCTTGAATGAGATAAAATTGTGTTAAGTTACAGATCTGGGTATCTGACACATTAGGAAACACATCACCATGTATCATCAACAACAACAAAATTACATTTATAGAGCGCAAAACCAGACTGAGTTCCACATATGCATGCAATCGGGAAACTAATTGATTTGACAGGGTATTTTATAAAAGAATGTCTGGCTTGTGAGTTATAGGAAATGTTGCAATTGATATATCAGCATGCATGTTTGATTGTACAATTACAAATGAAGTAAGTTGGTGGAAACCAAAGTTGTTTAGATTTGCTGCTCGGTAATGACTTGTTGTAAACTGTATAGGGCCCTGGTGAGACCACACCTGGAATACTGTGTCCAGTTTTGGTCTCCTCATTTAAGGAAGGATGTACTTGCCTTGGAGAGGGTGCAGCGTAGATTTACTAGGTTAGTACCAGGGATGAAAGGGTTGAGTTATGAGGATAGGCTGACTAATTTGGGCCTATATTCTCTAGAATATAGAAGAATTAGAGGGGATCTTATGGAAACCTATAAGATCACCAAAGGGCATGATAGAGTAGATAGTGGGAGATTGTTTCCCCTGGTTGGAGAAACTAAAACCAGGGGTCACAACCTTAAAATCAGAGGCCAGCCCTTTCACACTGAGTTGAGGAAAAACTTCTTCGCTCAAAGGGTGGTGAATGTATGGAACTCACTACCCCAAAGGGCTGTTGACGCTCATTCCTTGAACATATTCAAGACTGAGATAGATAGATTTCTTATTGCAAAAGGGATTAAGGGATATGGGGATAAGGCAGGGTCAGGTTATTAGCTGGAGTTAGATTAGAAGATCAGCCATGATTGAATGGCGGGGCAGACTTGAAGGGCCGAATGGCCTACTCCTGCTCCTACATGTTATGTTAAATGTAAACGAGTTGGAGTAGCCACGAAGAGTGAAGGCTACAGAAATCCTCAATCAATCTGTGTGATTTGTGTCTAGTGTTAAATAGTGGTTAAATAATAGAATAGTTCATATTAATGTCCAGTAAAAGTGTATGGTTATGGAGCATTTCTCATGGCAGGTGGGTGCTTCAGGAACAGCTAAAGCCAACCTGGGGAACAGGGGAGAGGGAAGAAAGGTGAGAGTGTAGATTAAAGGTGGAAAGGGAGGGGTTGAGGTGGAAGGATTCTAGGTTGGAGATCCAGAGATTCTAGTTTAGAGATTCAGAGAGCTGGAAAAGAATGGCTGAAAGCTAGTCCATTGATGGTGGGGTCATGAAGCAGGCTGATGTTCACTGAGCAGCCAGGGCAGGAAGTTGCAGAGGTAGGTGGGGTGAAGCTGTGGAGGAATTTGAACCTGTGGAGGATGAGGATCTTGAATTTGATTCACAGAAGGGGCATGGAGAGCCAGTGGAATGGTGCAAGGGTGAGGGCTATGGAGCTTGATGTGGAAAGAGAACAGAGGCTGTAACATTCTGAATGGTCTGCAGCTTGCGTGGAAGAGCTAAGAAGTCTGACAATCATTAATATGGTATCACCAAAATATTTGTTTCACTGTTCAAACTCATCTTGTGGAATGCATGAGAGCTTTTTGTAACAAAAAAAACAGGTTTTATGGACTTGATCTTTTCCTAACACTATTAAGCAATTGCTTGGATGTTGTAAAATTCCTGCTACTGAAAAATACTAAATGTAAGCGTTCCAGGAATGTTTTGGCCTTGGGCCATATTCATAGCGTATAGCTCCTTTTAAGGAAAATCTTTGGTAGCAAACTGTGAAAAATACCCCAATCTGGTGTTGGGTTTTGGTTCTTGATGTCACTGTAGCTGTGGTGAGAGCAGTGGATGGTTATGTCTGTAGGAGTTGAGTTAATGTAAGTGAAAATTTGCATGAGTAAGGAAGTGCAAGCACAAGTTAAGATGTGCTTAAGGTGTGGTATGTCGACAGCTTGTGGAATGTCAAAAGCTTACAGAATGTGTAAACACTCCATTATAGACTCCCAGTATCTTAGATCATCTGTAAATCCTCTTTTATTTGTAGGTACTCAGTCGTGTGTGCAGAAACTACAGTGGAAGTTCTTGCTTCCTCCAAAGTGTGTGTTATTTCTGCTAATACTGTGCTCATTGTTGCTTTTCTGACCACTTCTGTTTATGTACATGCAATTTCCTGACTTCCCAATTACAGCTTCTTTAATGTGATTCTGAGGTCATATCTGCAAGCTTACTGCTTTATATTTAACTGTGCTGGTAACCATATAAAATGGCTTCTCTATTGATGGGTCTAATCCATTGTGGTTTTTGTATCATGCAGATCAATTAACTGAAATCTTTTGTACCAAATACCCTCATAGATTTCCATACAGGGAAGTATTTTATGTGATGTGGATTTCTGGGACATCTCCAACTTCTTCCTTCTCTCTCCTTTTGCTGAAGATGTTGCTTGTGCTGGTGTTCCATAGTATGTGTTATAGGTGTTAACTTGTTTATTTCTGTGCTTCAGCTTTTAGTGATGTTGATTGTCACTTCCTGTCTTGAGTTAACCAGATTCGTCAATTCCATCTTGTTTTAGCGGATGCCACATGAGCATGTGATCAGAGATAAATAGGTGGTAGATACCAATCCAGTCCTACTGTTAACCATGGTGGCCGGGTCCAAAATGAAACTTCATGCACCTGTTATTAAGTCATGCTTGAGGATCCAAACCAAACTGAAAATTTCATGCATTCCACCATATAAGGCAATTCCAGAGATATTTATTTGAATGCAATGTGCACTCCCTCCTTGGAGGGATGCATCCTGTTTACCTCATTCCAGAAAGTAATAGGCGCAGGTTGGCAAGAGACCAGGCTTGGGCACACCAGGTGTGCATTTGGGTACTCCTGGAATCTAACCAGCTAAAACCACATCGTTTTTAGCCACTGAAAGCACTGTCTGATCACCTTTTCCACTATTTGTTCAGCTGGGACCACCCTACCGTTAACGTTTTGGCTTGGAGGGTTAGCGGGAGCTGAGTGGGAAGAATCTGTTACCCGAATGACTTCTCTGCCCTTCCAAGTCCTGCCGATGACCTGGGCGGCCATTAGCAGTGCCCTGGAGTACTGCGGACCATGATAGTCTGAGTATTGGCTATAAATGCATCCTTAACTTTGCTGCGTGAAGGATTTATAGTGCATTAATTCAACAGCAATGAATGATTACCACTCACATTGCTGTGTATTGACATGTTAAAAAGTGGACGTGGACAGCAGTAAAGAGCCTATTTCTCATTTCTAACTTTTAAAGTTAAACTTCCATTGAGCCTCTGGTGATGGCTGAGAAAAGGTGAGGAACTTGTAATGTATGGCAATTTTTCATGTTTACTCTGAAGGCATAAGGCCTCAATGCAACCCTGTACTTTGTTTCCTATGGATATTTTTCCTTAATGACTGGTGCACAGGAAATATGATTGGAGCTCTCCAGGCTGCACTGAAAAATCCCCCAATTAACACAAAGAATCAGGCACTTAAGGTAAGGCTGAATATTGCATTATCTTTACGTGAGCCTTGACTGGCTGTTTCGTGCAGGTTTTGGATGGTTATTAAAAACAAATTTGAAGAGTTGAAATTGGACCGTCTTCCCTACAATATGTTCAAAGTTTTAAAAATGCTAACAAGAATCTTAGTTATTAGTTCCTATCTACCAAACAGCAGCTGGGGGGCATTCTGTCCATTGGGTAATAACTTATTTAGATATCAGTACAAGTTTAAAATCTGGCTTACCTGAGCCAATGCATGCTTAAATATACAATAAGGGCAAGAAGGGTTGGAGTGAAACGGCCAACGGCATTACTGCGCTCCATAGTTTTAATGTATTCACAATTTGGCAGCACATTGTGACATGGAGAATGAGAGGTCGTTGAGCTAACCTCACTGCTCAGATGACACCTAAGAAATCGTAGTGGAAGGACTCCTTAAATTTAATTTGATCGGATATTATTGAAGATCAAAGTTCGCATTCTACAGAGTTTGTGCCTTGGATTAAACTTAAGTCCTTTCCATTTCTAGGACCGGGCAGAAAATACTGTTCTGAAGGTTTTGACTTCATTTAAAAATAATGATATTGAAAAGGCAGTTCAGTCCCTCGACAAGAATAGTGTTGATCTCTTGATGCAGTACGTCTACAAAGGCTTTGAGAAGCCATCGGAAAACAACAGTGCAAATTTACTACTGTGGCATGAAAAGGTAAGGGCAGCATGGTATTCGTATATCCATTGATTTCTAATGTACTAATTTGCACCATTGAAGGAAGCATCTGTGTTTAACAGGATGGTTGCTGAGACATTTTCTTTTCTTACCATAAGCCAAAGTGTTGATTATTTTATTCATATTTAGCAGATGGTATTATACATACACAGTGAGTGAAAAGTCCCAAATCATGGATGTTATCTCAACAATGCAAATGGTTGTCCTGAGATTTCCTTCCAGCTTCTTTTCAATATGTGTCAGCCTGGCTCAGTGGTAGCATTTTTGCCTTTGGGTCAGAAGGTTCTGGGTTCAAGCCCCACGTTAAAGATCCGATGGCGCTTTTCGAAAAGAGAAGGAAATTTCTCCCGGTGTTCTGGCCAACAATCCCTTAAATAAAATTGGTCACTCACTCTGTGACTTTTTGTGGGACATTGCTGTGCACAAATTGCTGCTTTGTTTCGCCCAGAAAATACAGTTAATCCACTTTACACCATACATCAAAGTGCTTTGAGACGTCTCAATGATGTGATAAGGCACTTTATCAAATCAAGGATTATTATTAATAATTCTGTCTATCTTGCCCTGATGAGACTCAGCCAAATATCTAGGATACTGTAAAGTGGTTAGTAATTTGTACTTCAATCAGTGCTCTTACCTAGAGGTGCTGGTGGAATAAAGATGAGAAGTGATTTTCCCTCCCAAGATAAACATGTGGACTCTGACTAGATTATTAACTGAATCTTTTGTGTTTTCTTTAGACTTTAGCAGCCGGAGGAGTGGGAAGTGTTGTAAGAGTTCTAACAGCAAGGAAGACAGTTTAATTATTGAAGGCAGGAGCAGCTGTCTGGTACAGAGGAATTGTTGGCGCCCAGACCAAAAGAACCAGTTTGTGCAACTTTGGAGTCATATAATCTTTCTATTTTACTTTATTTTTTGGCTTGCTTTTTATGGCTAATCTGTATACATTATTATCTCCATTCTACTGTCAACCAGAATCCATGGTGCAATTTATCCTGGTTTTATATGCACAGTATTCAGTACAATGTTTGTACCTGAATTAGAACATTTCAAACACCTGGTTTTACATTCCTTTTAAAAAGTAAACAATGCGGAATTGCCAGACAACTGAGATATATATTTTTTTCAGAAAATCTTTACTGAGGTTGTACCATTTCCTTAAATGTTCAGTTGAATAAAGGGTACAGTGGATGAATGTGTGGTGCAGACAGCAAATCATTGCTTGAAACTCGACGTGTTCAAGTACAATTACTTATACAGCTCCATATGGTCGTTTTAGATTGACGCCATGCCTTTTTGATGAGTTGTAATCCTGGTGGTATGGAGTACGATTATTAAAAAAAAAATCCATGTGAAATGAAGGGGTTGGATAAATGGTGGTTGCTAGAGGCTTTACTGTGCAGTGTTTTCATACTAAAATGATCACTGGTGTGGGGAATAAAAAATAATTAATTGCATGCTTTGGCGGTAATGCTTGCTAATAGATCAGTAAGCTGTTTTCTAATTTTTTTTACTTTTAAACTTAAAAATGACGGTTGCATCAGCAGCAGGACCAGGCAACGCCCAAAGGGCACAATAGAAACCCGGAAGAAATGTCCTGAGTCAGCATGCTAGCGGCTTACTCTCAGCCACTGCATTGCACTGCGTTAACAGTGAGGGCATCAAGGTTTTGCAGACTTGCAGTTTTCAAAGGTAATCTCACACTATCGCGTTGCCTAAATCTTAAGAATGGAACCATAATGTTGGTGGATGCTTTTAGAGGAGGGGGGAAGAATCGGTGTGATTTAACTGAGGAAGAACTCAACTTACAGTTGGCATGTCGGTGTTCTTCATTCTATCAGTTTATACCACATACACATGTTTGAATATACCTTAAATTGGTATTGAATTTCAAATCTTCTGTGGGAGTGATCGAGGAGTAAGAGATTCTGCCAACCAGTATCAGAACGATGTATTAATAATCTGAAATGTTTTTAAAGTTCACAGAATTCTATAAATTAAAATCTGTGGAAAACAAGTTTGTGAACAGTGGTAGATTAAAGCAGTGGGCATGAAAACGGGTCGACGGGGAAACTTATGCATTGTGTAGCATCGTTAATAGGTGCTGAAACTTTGTCTGATTATTTAGTTCCTAGGTCAAATCTTAGTATTTATGACTTATTTTCCAGCTAATGTATTACATGTCTGTTATTTCTCTTAACAGGCTTAAATAAAAGTCTATAACACGGCAGGCTTTAGATGCATGGCAGGATAGCACTATAGTGGTGAAGTGACAACCGTATCGAATTTGAAATCTCTCCTGCCATTTTCCTAAAATACTAATACGGTGATGCATCTTGGAGTTCAGGCATTGTTTACACTTGAATGTTCGATTGCTGAATCTGGTATTCTGCATGTAGCCTTAAAATGCGTGTGTTGGATGTAGTCAGTAATATTAGACAGGCTCTCCAGTGAAACTGCATGCTGTACAATTTGTATTTCTCTGCAGCTCAAGTGGTACCTATTAGAGTAGAAAGAAACTATGATCTTGGCCTGTGTGAAGAGCTTCATTGAGGCAACTGCCTTAATGTATAGATCAGTATACAACAATTCCAAATCTCCTAACAGACTGTCAGCTCCACTTTGAGCACCGTGGTGCCCATGTACATTATCAAATAGTGAACACAGGGTAAATACTATTTTTTTGCTTTCAAAAACAGCTCAACTTCAGGTTAAGAAGTCTGCAAAGTCATTGAACCATGCCCCCCCCCCCCCCCCCCTTCCCACAATGTCATTGATTATTAATGTGGGTGCCGACCTTGATAGCTCCACCCTCGTATTGTATCTAATTACAATGTCTTGAAACAAGTGTATTAATGTGATAAAATATTTTAAGTTCATGACCAAATCTCGTTCTAGCTGGAAATGTATTATGAAATTGCCCTGAGATTTTTTAATGCTTTTTTTGAAAAGACAATAAAAATTATTGTTGAAATTGTTGTAACCTTTTATTGCATGGAATCAGGATAAACTTAAAGTTGACGGTGAGCTGCCTTTGCTTTCCCCAGAACATTTTATGCTAATAAAATAGAACAGGCTCGATGGGTTGAATGGTGTACTCCTGCCCCTATCCTATGTTACACTAGCTACAGATTGGTTGGTGCCTCTCTGTTTTCTCCAATAAAATCAAATGAGGAGAGGGAGTTTATCTGAGACCAGCAAGTTGGCAGTATGTAGATGTTACATCTTACCATAGCATGTTTATACTCCAGTTTCTCTCCTTCTGCTTGAATTATGCATGTAATCAAATAGAAAGTTGTTTATCGTAAATAATAGAAATCTGTTTTTCTATGGGGAAAAAACTTTGATTGGAACTAGGAGTTTGTTTTTGACTGCTGATGCTTCTACCTGCCTTAGATCAGAAATTGAATGTAAGAGTAAGGTCCCCTCTTGGCCTGAGGATTGCATGTATCCAGATTTCTAATCCTTGTAACAACATTTTGCATTTACAAAATGTCCTTCATGCAGGGTAGTGTGCAGGAGTGCTTAAAGATGCAATTTGACATATTTGGTTAAAGCCCCTTCATATCAGGAGGATGTCTCGCAACACTTCCAAGATATGCTATAAAATGTAGTGATTATTTTGTAGGTGAATGCAGTAGCCAATTTGCACACACACCAATGTCACAATCTGCCATGAAGTTAATGACATTTTATTTGCATTATTAGTTAGGCTCCTGGGAGAAACGCCATTGGCTTCAAATCTTACCATGGGATCTTTAACATCCACCTTGCTCCTCCCTACCTCTGTGACCTCCTAACCCCTTACCAACCTGTCTTCTCCCTCCACTCAGTGGGCTCTGGCCTGCTTCCCGTCCCATCCCCCCCCCCCCCCGACTGACAGACAGGCCTTCAGCCTCTGCCCCGCTGGAATTCCATCCCACAGTCCCTTGCTTCCTTCAAGAACCATCTCAAGACCCTCATTTTCAACCGAGCCTTCGGTCACCCCCACCCTCCACCCCTCCTGATCCCAACTACCAGCTCTGTCCAGTACCTTGGGACGTCCTCCTAACGTGAAAGGCGCTATACAAATGTAAGTTGTTAAATGGGCAGCTGGGACCACGATTTAACATCTCATCTGAAGATGACATCTCTAACACTCACAGCACTGCAATGGGAGTGATCGGCCTGGACAAAACCAGTTCAAAATCAATAAGTTCAAAGATGTGGAGTTTGAACCCATAATTTTCTGACTCAGAGGTGAGAGTGCTACTAATTGAGCTAGGCTGACATTCTTGCCATATCTTGCAGTGGTGGGAAGGAGGAAGAGAATCAATCATGTAAAACGTCACAGGAAAGATTTTGCAGTGAACAATATTCTGGTTTCATATTCGTATAAGCCCTGGTGCGATCAATGCGCAGAAAGTAAATTAAAAAGAGCCAATCAGTGATGGACTGCAATTGATTTTATTTTCAAAATAAGAATTAAGGATTTATAAAACTATTCCTACTTGCCCTCCAATTGTACCAGGGTGGTGTTACCAAAATCTGTTTCGTAATAAAGCGATTAGTTTGTAACATTGCTATATTTTCATTTCAAGAGTTGTTTAAATTCCTCTTCCTTAAACTGCCTTTTCTGGGAAAAGAAAAACTGACTCATTAATGGACTGGGTTCACAGATGTAATGGGTGCATCTGTTCCCATTGCAATACTTCTGATTTATCCATAGCAACCTCAGTCCAGTAATCTGGATATTGCGTTCAGCAGGGATTTGAGTTGGGGAGGACATCCATTTGCTGACTGCAGGAACAGGACACTACCCTGAGAAACAGATAAGTTTTGAACTGAATTTCTGCAGAGCTGAAAAGAAGCAGGATGTGGTAAGAACTGTGGCAAAACATGAATGAACTGTTGAAGTCACTTTTTAAATGTTCTGGTGCCACAATTGAGATCTACTCCTTTTAAGGTTAGCACTGCACCGAGTGACCTGTGTGTGGGTTCCTTGGCTGGAAATGTGGGTTCCAATTTGAATGGTGTCATTGAGTTGAATGCAATTAAATGGATTAAGTTGTATTTATTTTGAAACGAGAACTATTGACCTTGACTTAACACAACTTCCATCAGCCAAGAGATGCAGGATAGAGTATTCTGCGAATGTGCATGTCACCACTTTGTCTCCCGATTGCTGAAATGAGGTTGGATTTCAGCTGAACAAGTCATCATTTTTCATTGGAGCAAGAAACGCCACCTAGTGATTCAGATGTAAGCTGACTTCAGCACCAGACAAATTCATGTGACCCTGGGAATTTAATACAGGACCATATTTTTGGTAGTTAGAAAAGCTAATGAGTTGCCATTGTTTGTATTCAGCTGTTCACTCAAAGTAGAGCAGCAACTTTTGAGTAGTTTTTATTTTGAGTTCTGCCACTGTGAAGGCGCTATTTGAATACAAATTATTGTTGAAGAGGGTGAAGCAGAATCCATAAATCAGTAGCTTTTAAAAGGGAATTAGAGAAATGTGAAAAAGAGCAATTTTAAAGGGTCAGGGAAAGGGCAGGGGAGTAGATTGCTCTTTCAGAGCTGTAAACTAAGATCCTACTAGTGCATTTTCTTGACCCTCACACCAAAGGAATGTAAATTTTTGTTCCATCTGCCTTTCAAACAACAAATTATTATTTTTTAAATTATTGAATGATTCGCAAGTAGCAAGTCCTACTAGATTTGGGAACAGAGACCTGCTATAAGGAAGTGTTTTTTTTCTTCATGTAGCCATTTAGCTATGTGTTGACTCACCTCGGGCAAGTTCTTTATTGGAGTTCTGTAAGCTCTACTCCAAGGCCAAGACCTCATAAGAATATAGGAACCATTTAGACCCTCGAACCTGTTCTGCCATTTGATTACATCATGGCTGGCCTGTACCTCATCTTCAGTTACTCAAACTCCCAAGTGTTATAATTTAATATGTTAAAGTGTTAAAATGCAACTTTCTCTTTATCCCTAATGCCCTCCATCCCATCATCAGCGGCTGCACCTTCAGCCTCTACACCCCGAAACTCTGGAACACTCTTCTTCAATCCCTCTGCCCTTCCTCCCTCCAGCTTGGTGTCGTGCGTCGCCACTGTGAGGCGCTATTTAAATACAAATTATTGTTGAAGTGGGTGAAGCAGAATCCATAAATCAGTAGCTTTTAAAAGGAAATTAGAGAAATATGTGAAAAAGAGCAATTTTAAAGGGTCTGGGAAAGGGCAAGGAAGCAGATTGCTCTTTCAGAGCTGTAAACTAAGATCCTACTAGTGCATTTTCTTGACCGTCACACCAAAGGAATGTAAATATTCTCTGAATGAACTGTAACCATCCACAGCTATGCTTACATGGTGCTCGTCAACTATCCAGAGCCTCCCTCAATAAGTCAGTATTGGCCGAAACCCACTGCCTGAAGGACTGTAATTCAGGATGCAATTCCAGGCTTAAAGTCCTGTTCATTTTCTGGCCCCCTCGCTTCCAGAATTCAAACATATTCCCAAGGTCCTGAGCACCTGCTCCGTCGAACGTCTCCACAAAGTTTCTGACCGAAATCTGTCACAAAGGAGAAAAAATTAAACTGTTCAGAGTATTCAACCGAAAAGAATCAGGCTGGGGTGAATGATTCTGATAAGTATTGCTTTGTGTGGATTCACGCAGTTAGCATTTGTTTTAAGGAATACAGGAAAACTTGCATAAGTCTGATCTGTATAAATCGTGTAATCGCCGAAGTCTGCCCATCCTAATTTGGGACCAATCTGCCCAAGTCCCACTGAATATCCTATAACTTATGCAAGTTTCACATAACTCACACTTTGCATAAGTCATATTAAATATATGGCTCCAACTGATACGATGTATGTGAGGTTTTCTGTACAATGTTTGTAACACCACACAATAGAAAGAACGAAAGCACAGCATGGAAATAAGCCATTTGGCCCAATTGTTCCATGCCAGTAATTATATTTCACATGAGCTTCCACAATAACAACCTGCACTTACATAAGGATTTTCATGTTTTAAATTTTTTTTTTTTGTGAAGCATTAAATAGTGGTTGGGGTGGGGGGGGGGGGAGAGGGGATGGTGATTTTAAAATGATAAGACTCTTCCACGCCCGTGCGATTTTGTAATCGGGATCTCAGAATGTGTATATCTATGCTTCGAATGACAAAGATTCTGTTTTAAATTCTGGGTTTTTTAAATATCCGTTCTCTGGCTGCTGAGTGTGTTTTTTTTCCTCCAGTCTTTAGTTGTCAATCGATGAATCTTGGCAGCAAGATCTGGAAACTAATATATCAACTGGTAGTTCAGAATGTGCTGAGGATATGTGCTTTCAAGCATCAATAAAATGCCAGCAACTCGCTCTTTGTCAGGTGTTGTTGGCAGCTGCTTTAACTTTCTATACATTACAATACCCATGTCAGAATCATCCAGAAATATCTGAGATGCACAATGTGTGCCAGCCTGGTTCAGCTCATATCCTTTCAGTGATTAGCTTTAGGGGTTGAAGCCTTAAGTCAGGACTTTGCACGCATCTAGTCTAGACTGACACTCTAATGCAGTGCTAGGAATTGCACTGCATTGTTGGAGGTAGCATGCTTCAGATGAGACGTTAAACCGAGGTTCCATCTGCTTCCTGAATGAAAGTTAAAGATCGTGTGGCATTATTCAAAAATAAATGGGAATTTGTACTGGTTTCCTGGTCAATAATCCCCAGATAAAATTGTCATTCACTTTACCTCTGTGGGATATTACTGTGTGCAAATTAGCTGCAGCATTTGCCTACAAAATAGGTAGTCTACTGCACTTTACAGTATATCCTGCGCTCTGAGATTCCATCCTATGTGAAAAGCGCTATAAATTTAGTTTTTGTTGTAATGTGTTCTGAATTTTGTCACAACACTTCATGGAAAAATTTTGTGAGCATTTTGAGATGTTTTGATGACACGATAAGACACCATAGGAAAATGCAAGGATGAATTCGCTTTGACAGTGATTATACCCGTGAATCCTTAATCCGTTTGGGGTCCAGGTACTCGCTGAGGATTTGTCCGTATTCCTTGATTTCCAGCCTGTCAGCAGACAGAAAGCAGCTCTTGCCTGTCCAGCGCTCGGGGGCTTTAAATAAGGCTGTCACGATCGGACCAATTTGTTTGACACTTATTCCGTCCATGGCTGTTTCTCCCATCGGGATAGCTGTAACCAATACACAGGTTATAAGAAGCAGAGCATTGACAACTCGGGTATTTCCACTTGGCACTTCATGCAACGATAACAACTTGTATTTATATCGCCCTTCACACATGGCATGGGATCTTTACAGGCAGATGAGACCTCAGTTTAATGTCTCATCCGGAGAACAGAGCCTCTGACAGTGCAACAGCCCTACAGTGCTGCATTGGAATGTCAAGTCCCGATGTGGGACTTGAACCCACAACCGTCTCACTCAGAGGCGAGAGAACTTTCGCTGCACCAGGTTGACAACAATGACTGAATTGAAGGGAATTGTTTCCATGTCTTTTCATTCTTTGTGATTCTAGTAAACTACTCACCAATTTTATAAGTGTCTTTTCCAGATGGGGTTGGTTTGAAAGTTGTAAGAAAGTTTTCGAAGTAAAAAGGAACGATTATCTCAGTCTTGGGCAAAGCAATTTCATTCATGTAGTCGTTGATGCAAGCCTTTGCATCCATATGCCTCGCTGGCAGGCTGTACTTCCTGTGGACGTGATGGGCTCCACTGAACACAACCTGCTTGATTTTGTGCTTCTTGCACAAGTCAGCAATTCTGTAGCCTTGTTGGATTTCAGTCTGTGACATCATAATAATATTCTTTATTATTCATTATAATTAGTTATTATTAATCAGCAATGACATGAATGAAAAGAGAAAACCTTGCAGAGTCTTATTAAAACTGATACAACATCACAGGATTTCACCAACAAAATAAAGCTAATCCACTTTACAACAATCGTATGAAGCGCTTTGCGACATTTCAATGATGTGATAAAGTGCTCTGTCAAATGCAAGGATTATTATTGTTATTCACTCAGTGCCATTGTACAGACAAACTGTTTGTTTTAACGTGTTCACCTAATACGTGGTCACTACTGCAAAAATCCTGCGAAGCGCTTTGAAATGTTTTGACACTTAGAAAAAATAACCAGACTTTCAAGCAGGCAAATAAAAACACAGCTGCTGCATTTTAGCTTTATAAACCTTTGGAAAATCAATATTAAAGCCGTGTGACTGACCCACAGAGGGTCTGTGCTGTTGAAATCCATATCGGTGACAACGAAGCATTTGTGTGCATCCCTCAGAGCAGAGTCGATGGTTGAGGTTTGGTTGTAATCCACCACCACAGTCTGTGCCCCGGAGGCCTGCAGGTGTTGAGCGGCTGGGCTGGCTAACTCGCTCACTGCCGCACGAAGTTTAAAGTTTCCGTCCTGGAGCAAGGCTGAGGCAACCTCATTGCCTTCACTGCCATCAGCACCGAACACCGTTACCATCTCAGCCATCCTCTGAAGAAGAAGGAAACAAGAGAGTCGCAAGAGGTTCGGATTTTTGGCGGGGGTCACCCAGGTGTCTGACACGTGCGGAGACACGCCACCATGCTTAAGACTATCCAAAGCAACACAGATTTACATATAATAATAATCCTTGCATTTGATATAGAGTCTTATCGCTCTAAGAAGTTGAGAAGTCCCAAAGCACTTCATAGAATATCCTGCAAAGCGAATTGACAATATTTTGTGGGCAAAATGCGGCAGCCAATTGCGTACAGCAGTGTCCCACAAACAGTCATGGATTGACTGACCACGTTATTATTATTTTCTTTTAAAAGGATTATTAGCCCAGAAAAACGATCTACCAATCGAGTTCCATGTGTGACATCTACATGTGAAAATTTCCCTGGGTTTGGAATGGAGTGCATTCTCTCTCCAGAACAATGCACCCTGTTTACCTAAGTCCAGGGAGAATTAGCCGCAGATTGGCTAACAGCATTGGGTCCCCAGAGTGAGAGTTGGGTTATTGCTGTGATTTAACAGTCAATGCCACTTTTACCTCTGACTTTGAAGGTTGTTGATTCAAGACTTTGAGCTCACAGACTGGGCTGACACTTCAAACTGTTTTTGAGCATTGTCACCCATCAGATGAAATGTTAAACCAAGGAGCCATCTGCCTGTTCAGGTGGACATTCAAGATCCCTTGGCACTTTTTGAAAGAGAAAAAGGAGTTTCTTCCGGTGTCCCGGCAAAGAACCCCTGATAAAATTGATCATTCATTTCATGGCTGCCGCGTTTGCCTACAAATAGCCTCTTACAGTACAATCCCGTGAAGTGCTTGGATTTAATGTAAGGCGCTATATCAAATACAGGTAATATTATTAGAATCATAGTAATACTGTTTATTTTTTACCTTCTCTGACTCTAGGCAAAACTGCACTCTTGACTGTTTGAAGACCTCATCCCAGATTTGTGTGGGAAGGAGGAGGAAGTGGTGAGACTTTCAGCAGATTCAAACCTTATTTCAAAAAAAATTAGAGGCTGAATCAGATATATATTTTCATACATTTGCTCCAAAACTCACCGTGACACTGACTTGCTTTGTGTCTTTTCTAAGTCGGAGTCTGCCGTTACCGGGGCTACTTGGGTGCCATTTCCTGAACTAATGCTTGTTTCTACTGTAGTTGTCAGGGAAACAGCAAGCCGGAGCCAGATTTCCAAGACAGCAGCCAGTGTACAGACTGCACACAGAGCTGGGAGTGCACTGTTATTAGACCCAATGCACCAGCAACAGTTTGTCACATCAATGTCTCACAGAGAGCCATGGAGTGAGTGACCAATTTTATTTGGGACTGAACACTAGGAGATGCTCCCTTTTTTTAAGTGCCATGTTTATCTTTACAAACTTGTCTTAATAATCTTTATTGTCCACCTGAACAGGCAGACGGGACCTTGGTTTAACGTTTCATCCGAAGGACGCCACCTCCAACAATGCAACACCCGCCCCCCAGCACTGCATTGGAATGTCATCTTAGACTATGTCATTTCAAGTTCTGACGTGGGGCTTGAACCTGCAACCTTGTGACTCAGACCAGAGTCCTGATACATTTAAAAGGGAGACAAGACCTTGGTTTAACATCCTCTCTGAAGGTCTTGAGCCTCCTCTAGCTTTCTCATGCTTTGCAGGAATATAAATGTGCAGGATTCTATCTTCCAGGCCTATTCTATTTCCACATAACCATCAGCTTGTGACTGTTGCACAATATAACGGCTAACAGTATTCTGTAGATTGTAACTGTGGCTCAGTTCTAGTTATGATCACATTTCCTGTAATGACTTTGTCATTTTTCAGTCAGGGTAGGAACCAGATGGGGAAAAAGAGGTAGTTTGTACTTGCTGTTATAACTGCATTGGTGAGGACTTTGCTGCCCTAAGCCCATCTTCCACATTTCAGCTTGTGTGCGAGTTTGACACACAAACCCAAAGTTAACCATGGGTTTAAAGGAAATCTTAAAGCTGTGGGATGAAGGGATCACTGAGGCAGACCGTGGAGAATGGGCCAATGCACTGAAGATATTTACTTCAACAGAGGAGACCAGCTCCAAAATCTGGTTCAACATTGGCTGCCTACACCTTTTACTGGGAGAGCTGCAGAAGGCTCAGAAAGTAAGTGAGTGGGAAGGAAATTTTAGTGTGTTACAAGGCCTTTCTCTGTGGAACTATTACGACCATTTGAAATAGAGTCCTGTAACATATTGGTTAGAGCACTGGCCTCACACTGTGAGAAGACTGGGTTTGATTCCTGGGCAGGGCAAAACCTTAGGCAAGTTTCCTTACTCCACACGCTTCTGTTTACCTCGCAGTAAGTAAGAATTCAGTTGTTGGTCAATTGGTGGATCACATACCAGGGGTAGTAATTCTCCAAAATAAATTGTGGTCACTCGCTCCACAACTGTTTGTGGGACACTGTTGTGTGCAATTGGCTGCTGTGTTTCCCCCACAAAATACACAGTCAATCCATTTTACAATATATTCTGTAAAGCGCTTTGAGACGTCTCAACGACGTGATATGGCACTGTATCAAATGCAAGAATTATTATTATTAAATGCTTTTTTTAATCCCAACTACACAAATAGAAACATTAACAGGTGAATGAGGATGTGATCCTTTTGAAATGATTCCATCTGGCAAGAACTGAAAGATTTTGGTGTATCTGTGTGTGAGTGTGTGTGTATATGGGTGGGTGTGGGGATGGAGAGCAGTGAGATTGTTTTCGCTGCGTTTTACGGATGTAATTTTTTTGTGTTATGAAAGATTGTGAAACTGTTGCAGCCGTTGTGTTTTAATGTGAAGAAAATCTAAAGCTGGCAACATGTCCAGTGAGGAATGAATGAATATTCACCCCCCACACAAGTATTCAAGTTGCTGCAAACAGTATGTAACAATTACACAGTCGCTGAGTTTAGTTATGTGACTGTCATGTGAACACTGCAGAAACACCCTAAAAGCCATTAACCAATCTCGTTCATTTGCATTTAAAAATCCAATCCTTGGTAATCAATTTTATTTGGGGGATGTGTTGGACAGGACACCAGGAGAAATCCTTTCTCTTTTCGAATAGTGTCATGGGATCTTTAACGTCCACCTGAACAAGTGGACGGGAACTTGGTTTAATATCTCGTCAAAGGCCGGCACCTCCGACAATGCAGCACACTTCCAACACTGGATTGGAATGTGAGCCTAAATCCATATGACTTAAAAGTCCTGACATGGGATTTGACCCCACAATCTTCTGTCTCAGAGACGAGAGTGCTACCAACTGAGACAGGCCGACACGCAAAATAGTGTTGTCCTAACTAACTGAAATGGAAGAAATTGTGTATTGTGTGAGCTGATCTCTTCCCCCTCTCTCTCTCTCTCTCTCTATTCCAGGCATTCGATATGAGCATCTGCAAGGATGAGCATTTGGCAGTGGCTTTCTATCAACGTGGGATAACTTTCTTCAAAACTGAAAAGTAAGCCACTTCTGTACATTGAAGAGGTTTGTGTGAGCCAGGTGTGCAATGCACTACTTGACTGCTCGTCAGACAGAAGCTTTTGCATTCAGATTGATTTTGCTTAGAGAGGGGTTGAGACGATTTCTCTCAAATGTTTGGTGAGAGATTCTGTTGTGTGAGGGGTAAATGATCTTTTCAGACAGGGTTCATGCATGTACACCTTTCCGTAGGGGGGCATTTGTTGACAGTCAAGGGCAGTAAAGCACCTTGACCTTCCCCTTAGTTCAGGGAGTACATTCCTCCCAAACTGATTCTCATTTTCGTTTACTTTCCATGCCAAGCAATGTGGGTGATATTAATAAGTAGAAGATATTTATTTCAATAATAATTTAAAAAATAAAATAAAATAAATGAGGCAAAGGTAAACTTGTTTAGAAAAATAAATCTAATCAAATTATTTTGGCTCAACACAATGTCGAAGTATGACATTCCACCCAACACTCCACATGCCTCTGTTTACAATATGACAGTAAGTAGGAACCCGGTTGTTCCAAGGGTAATTATCCCTTAAAAAAAATGATTTGGTCATTCAATCCACGATTGTTTGGGGGAAACCGCTGTTCGCAGTTGACTGCTGCATTTCACCCACAAAATACAGTCAATTCACTTTACAGTATATTCTGTGAAGTGCTTTGAGATGTCTCAAAGACGTGATAAGGCACGATACCAAATGCAAGGATGATTATTATCAAGAATCATTTCATTTGATATTCCCTTGACATCCCCTTAATCTATAGTCACTTTGAAAATGGTGAAATTATCCCTGGAGTACTGAAGCCATTTCCTTCCTAATTTCCTTCTCTGTTGTCTTACAGTTATGAAGAAGCCATTAGAGACTTTAAGGAAGCATTTCATCAACTTAGAGGGAATCTGCTGATAGACTATCACCAGCTAGGCCTGAGATACAAGCTGTTTGCTTGTGAGGTATGTGGGTTCTTGAATAGTCCATGTTCTCATGCTGACAGAAGCGCTTTCATATTCTTTTATTTTATTCTAAGAGTCTTTGTTAACTATGTGCTCCCACAAGTCAATTCTAACTGGACCAGATGGGAAATTTCTTCCTTCTGAGCACATTAGACGTTCACCCATTGTTTCTGGGCAAGCCCGAACAAGTGATCAATTCACATCGAGTGGAGCAAATTTATGATGTTGCTGATGGATTTGAACTGCACTAAAATTTACCACATGAGCAATTTATTAAAGGAATCTAATCTCGCTGAACTGGTTTTGTCCGCAAGGTCAAGTGAACTTGCTGTAAGGTAGAAAGCGGTATTTTTAAGACCATCCAAGAATAAGGGATGCCAAAGAGGTTCCTGCTTTTAGACTTTGGGTCATTGAAGTTTTCCTGCTGCCAATTCAGGATATTTGAATCCTTAACAATGTATTTCGGTTAAATGCTACTAATAATAATCCTTGCATTTGACATAGCGCTTTATCATGTCATTGCGATGCTCAAAGCGCTTCACAGAATATATTGTAAAGTGGATTGACTGTGTCTTTTGTGGGCTAAACGCGGCAGCCAATTGCGTACAGCAGTGTTCCTCAAACAGTCGTGGAGTTTTTTTTTCAATCCTGTGAAGAGCTTTGAGATGACCTCCAAAAATAAAAGGCGCAGTATCAAATGCAAGGATTATTATTTTATTTAGCCTTAACCACAGTAAACGTTGACTTGATTGACTGTTTTCCTAGGTGCTCCATAACCAGGCACTGGCTCATGCCCAGCTACAGACGTGGACCGAGGCGGAGGAGGTGTTGAAGAATGCTTTGGGTTTCAAAACCGAGCCCAAGCATAACTTTGTGGACGAGGCTTTGGGAGCTGTTCGGGTACTGGCTTCTTTCATACATTCGCAGGTTTCCTCTGCAAATTGTCCTGTTCCCTCTGCATCCGCCTACAAAACACAGGCACTGCACTTCACAGTATATTCCGTGAAGCGCTTTTGAGGCATCTTCCTGACGTGAAATGTTTTGTGTTCCTATGAAAGGCGCTATTTCAAATGCAAGAATTATTTTATTGTTATTTCACTGAAGGACTGTCATTTCAATTTGTACCATTATGTTTGCAGAACGCACAGCATTACATGTCTGACCAACCTGCCTGGACTAATACAGCAAATAACAATAACTTGAGCTTATATAGCACTCTAATGCAGGATAGCGTTTTGAAGTGCTGAACAATAATATAGTTTTATACTGAGCCAACCTCATACCGACCTGCCCACTCCATTCGCTAAGCGGGCTCATGTCCCCTGACCTGCTGCCCCACCATCAGTAGTCAGGCCTGGAGTGGTGGGCAACTCCATCTTGCCCGCCACCCCTCTCTGAGCCCAACCCGCAGATCAGTTGCAAACCCCTCATAGTCCAGCACATTTTTGAGATAAGAGCAGGTGAGTAGGGCTAGTTGGTAGCTCTTTCAAAGAGCCAGCAAAGGCACAATGGGCTGAATGGCCTCCTTCTATGGTAAATGCAATTTGTTGTTGTTGTCTCCCGCTAGAGGAAATATGTATTTTTAATTACAAAACAATTCAGCATTGCTCTTTAAAAAGAACCTTCCCCCTCTCACATCTTGTCCCTCCTTTGTATGAGGGCAGGAATATAAATATGCACTCTGATCCCTGTTCACAGAACCAGAAGCTCTTTGAACTACTGCAGCTGCCGAGAGGACAGCTCTTCAGACCAAAGAAAAACAAAGTCGCCGAATTGGAAAAACAGGACTTTCTGGGAGAAGCCAAGGTACCAGCTGAAACTCAGTGCTTACTGGTGCTAAAAGAACCGTTTGGAAGTTCCTGAGGAATGGATGTGCTGCTGTAATCTAAACACTAAACGTCTATCAATTGATCTGCTATTGGCTGTCTGAATGATCTACTTGAATTCTTTCAGGAAGTAGCTAAGTTATTGTATGGGAGCTTTCAGGTGGAGACAATTTACACTACTCGGATCTTCAGAAGGCATTTGATAAGGTTCCTCGTGTGTTAAAGTTCATATCTTTCCTTTGGATGAGATGTTAAAACGAGGTCCTGCCTGTTTGTTCAGTGAACGTTAAAGATCCTGTAGCAGTTTTTGAAAAAAGAGTTTCTCTTTCCCGGTGTCTTGGCTAACAAATGCCCCCAAAATAAAATTGGTCACTCGCTCCATGGCTGTTTGTGGGGCACTGCTGTACACAAACTAGCTGTTGCGTTTCACCCACAAAATACAGTCGATCCACTTTACAGTATATCCTATGAAGTGCTTTCAGATATTTCGACAACGTGATGAGATGCTGTATCAAATGCAAGGATTATTATGGCAATGAATGGCAAGTTAGCCAGTTGAATTGAACTGGCTCAGTGATAGAAAGTGGAGGGTGTGATTGGGAAAGACAGAGAGTTGTCTGAATCTCTTAATCTTTAGCTCTGGTTTTCCATTTCCTTCTGTTTCAGGTGGTGGCATCAATCGTTGACAATGATGAATTCTCGGGCTTTGCACCTCTGCAGCCTCTGGTAACTTTTAGTTTCTGAATTGTTTAAGATGGTTGTGGACCTGGCTTATTAGGGTCAGGCCATTAACATTGAGTCTTTCTGATGAAGAGACTGTCTTCTCCAGATAGTGTAACTTCTTGAGATGTTTCTTCTACATCTAAGACACCCAGCTATAATTGGTCTTTAACACCAAGGTTGTTTGTAGGATATTGCTGTGTGCATATTGGCTGCCGTGTTTGCCTATAAAAATACGCAGTCACTACTCTCTACAGTAAATCCTGTGAAGCACTTTGAGATGTAACCCCGAAGTGTTAAGGCACTCTAATCAAATGCAATGATTATTATATGTCATATGTGAAAGTTATTGATGATAAGCAAGATTTTTTTATATTGAAGAAATGTGAATTACTGTCTTAACAAAAAGCTTAGTGGGTGAATGCATGGTTAGGTCTAACTGAATTAGAGTGTGTCCTCTGTAGAGAGTGTAACCTTGAACAATTATAGGAAGATATCAGGTCTTGTCCCTTGTCTGCTTAGTCAGATATTGTAACTCTATGTGTCCACAGTGGCCCACGGCTCTCTATGTATCTAGTAGATTCATGTGCGCAGTGTAATTGCCTTTCTCCAGTGCAAGGCCTGATGTTTCCTAGCAACTGTGGTTACCGCTTCATCACATATAACTCTTCAATTCTATCTTAACAGGTCCCAGAAACCGTCTCCAAAACAAAACCTCCAGAAATACTGAAGTAAGTCGCAGTGGCTCTCTTTCAAAAGGGAATTGGATAGATATTTGAAAAGGAAAAAATTGCAGGGCAATGATTTAAGAGCCGGGGACTAGTTGGACAGCTCTTTCAAAGAGCCGGCACAGGCATGTATTATTATTATTTGTTATTATTATCCCATGCCTTCGGGGGAGGTGGATAGAGAGTTGGGAAAGGAAGTGGAATAAATGTTTGGGGAAATGATTAAATAAAGGGTTTGGTACTTTGGATTCTACACCCATATTGTGGGTTATTAGCCCTGCTATAAACCCCTTAAAGTGTCTGCCCCCCCATGTCCTCTGCTGTCTGTTTATCCGACATCACTGTGGGCAGCGGCTACAGCAGTGCAGCCCAACGGACCCGCGAGAGACCAGGCAGCCATACCAACAACTAGAGACACCCTCAACAAGGTGTGAAGTGGACCTGGGAGGAACCACCTCCAACGCAACTGTGGGTGGGGCGGCTCCGGACACACATGCAGAAAATGGGCTTCACTCCGCTCGGAGGCCTCATTGTTGCGATTGTTTGTGTGGCTCTCTCTGTGTTTGTGCGTGTGTCTTTGTGAGTGTGTGAGTGTCTCTACATGACTGTGTCTCTCTCTATCTGTGTCAATGTGTTTCTCTGGGTCTATGCTTCTGTGTCTCTCTCTGGGTCTATGTCTGTGTCTGTGTGCAGTGCTGTGCGCTGATAGGCAGGAGGTGGTGAGTTCCTTTAGCCCCGCAGTCAGGACCCTTGTTGGCAGATCTCCAGATGTTTCTATGTTTCCAAGACTTCTCTCTCTTGTTCCAGGTCCCTGCAGGGAGAACTTTACCGGGTTCTGTTTAACTTCATTCCTAAAAATGAACAGGAGCTGAGAGTGCAGTCGGGAAACATAGTCAGTGTCCTGGAGAAAGGAGATGACAGTTGGGCTACAGTCATGTTTAACAACAAGGTGAGTGCCTGAGCCAGACCAGAGCTCTGCTCCGTCAAAGGCAGCAATGAGGCCAGGTGTCAGACAGGCTCAGTCAGCAGCACTCTCACTTCTGAGTCAGACAGTAGCTTGTCTCTCTCTCTGGGTCTATGTCTGTGTGCAGAGCTGTGCGCTAATAGGCAGGAGGTGGTGAGTTCCTTTAGCCCTGCAGTCTTTGAACTCATATAGTCCAGGCTGATATGCCAATGTGAGGAGGAGGGGGTGGGTGCTGTATTGTCGGAGGTGTCATTCTTCTGATGAGATATTTGACCAAGGTCCTATATTCCTGGCATTATTTGAAAAGATCCCTCGATAAAATAATAATTTGGTCACTCAATCCACGACTGTTTGTGGGACACTACTATGTGTGCAATTGGCTGCCGTGTTTCGCCTTGAAAAGATAGGGAATTTCTCTCAGTGTCCTGGCCAACAATCCCCCTCATTCACTTCATGGCTCTGTCTGTGGTACTTCGCTGTGTGCAAGTTAGTTGAGCCACGTTCAACCATAAAACACACAGTCACTGCGCTTTGCAGTAAATCCTGTGAGGTGCTTTGAGACGTCCTTCACAAAGTGTAAGATGCTGATATCAAATGCAAGGATTATTGTTATTATAATTACAATTCCTTTGTATCAGCCTTGCACCATCCCAGTAACTGGAGCTGCGTGTTGGAAATCGCTTCGAACAAGAAGAGGAAGCAGCTTTTTTGTGCGCAAAACACATCTTGTGCTCAATGAGCTGGTCTGGACTTTCAGTTTCTCTTCCTGTTTGCAGCTTCCTCTGATCAGGCCAGTCAAAATTCTCAAAACTCAGCCAGTTTGAGGGTGATGTTAATTGGGCTGATTCAATGGCACACTTGTCTCAGGGCCAGGAGGTTTTTTGCAGGTCTGAAACTTGAGCTCCTGGCTAGGCTTACACTCCAGAAATATAAATAAAAATGACCTGATTTGCAAGGAGGTGGTATGTACGATATGTTGGTGGTGCTATTACCTGTCGAGCCTTTCTCTCCTCACTGAGACGCTGATAATACTGATGGGCCCCTTTCACTGTTTTCATGGACAGGCTGCCCTTACTCACTGCTCACAGTGACAAACCTCCCGATATTCAGATCTCCTCCCCACCCTCTGTTGCTGAACTCTAATCCCGTTCACTATATGAATTAGTTGCCCAGTCTACAAATTTCAGTTCATGGTCATTTGCGTGGCTTTTCCTGTATTGCATTTGCCTTCAAATACCCAGTCACTTCCAGTCCCTTCACAGTAAAATTCTGCAAACCGCTTTTAGACACCACAACAATGTGATACGGCGCTATACCAAATGGGGGTGTGGGAAGATGACCAAAGGCGCAGTCGAAGAAGAAGGTCTTGAGATGGGCCATGGAGGAGGCAAGGGAGGGGGCAAGGTGGTGGGGGTCAAGGATGGAGTTCTAAAGATTGGTGGGGAAAAAGGCTGAAGACCGACTGCCAACGGTGGGGCGGGCTGGGCGAGGGGCATCGAGCAGGGCAGTGCTCGCGGAGCAGAGGAAGTGAACGGGTTGGTAAAGTTTCCGGCAGTCGCGGATGTAGGGAGGAGCAAGACCAAGGAGGGCGTTAAAGGTCTTTATTACAGTGCTTCTTGGTGTTTTACTCTAGATTAGCCTGTTTAAGATGGGTGATGTTATCATATTAGTAACTGCTCCATACCAATGGATACTAGTCTCCGGTGTTTAACTGTTTTTGTCCTCTCCTGCTAGTTTGGCTTGGTCCCTTCCAACTACCTGGAGCAACTGGAGCCTGCGAAGGTAAAAAAAATGAGCAAGCATAAAATCATAGAATCATAGAATTATACTGCACAGAAGAAGGCCATTTGGCCCATCGTGCCTGAGCTGGCTCTTTTAAAAGAGCTGTCCAAATCAATCCCACTCCCCCGCGCTCTCCCCAAAGCCCTGCAAACTTGTCCTCCCCAAATAATTATCTACTTTTCTCTTAAAAGTTGTTATGAAATCGGCTTCCACCACCATTTCAGACAATGCATTCCAGATCTGAATGACTCGCTGTGTGAAAAAAAATTCTCCTCACTTCCCCTCTGTTTCTTTTAACTGTTTTAACTTGGTGCCCTAGGGTTACTGACCCACCCACCAGTGGAAACAGTTTCTCCTTTTTCATCCTATTGAATCCCTTCATAATTTTGAAAACTTCCATTAAGTCTCCTCTTAACCTTCTCTGCTCCGAGGAGAATCATCCTAGCTTCTCTAACCTCTCCTGATAACTGAAGTCCCTCATTCCTGGTAGCATCCTGGTAAATCTCCTTTGGATGCTGTCCAATGCCTTGACATCCTTCCTAAAGTGTGGTGCCCAGAACTGAACACAGTCTCTAGCTGAGGCCTAACCAGTGTTTTATAAAGGTTCATCATAACTTCCTGACTTTTGTATTCTATGGCCCTATTTATAAAGCCTAGTATCCTGTATGCCGTATGCATGAATAAATGGTTTGGATTTTATTGAGAGAATAATATCTTGTTTGGCTTGTTTGGGTGCCTTGTGATATACAGTGTGCAACCCATTCTGTTCTCACGTAAAGAGATGTCACTGTTGGATAAGTAAGGATTAATTATCGACTGGATCTTCTTCCGTTCCCATTAAGCAATAGGATTTCCACTCTAGAAGTGGATTGCAGTGAAGCGGAGCAGAGTCAGGTTGACCGACTTCCACTTCACATTGGCTTGAATGCTTTATGGAGGAATCTTGTTAAGAAATCCTTCAGGTTAGATGCTGCAGTTTAAGCTCCCAGTGTCTTTCTCACAAATGTGTGGTGATCAGACTAGCAGCCATGCTGAGAAACACTGAGCTTCACCCAAACTCCCAGTGTAGGCTGACAATCCAGATTACATAGTTGGAGGTGATTTCGGGATGAGACATTAGGTCAAGGCCCTGGACGTCTGTCTGTTTGTTCAGGTGGACGTTAGAGATCCCACAGCACTACTCAAAAAGAGAAGGGGGTTTCTCCGGATGTCCTTGCCAACAATTCCCCAGATAAAATTGGTCATTCAAATCATGACTGTTTGTGGGACATTGTTATGTACGTTCACCTACAGAATACACAGTCACTATATTTGATCGTAAATCCTGTGAAGCACTTTGAAACATCTTGTCGTCTTAATATGGTTGGCTCACAACACACAGTCCTTTCACAGTATATCATGTGAGGTGCCTTGGGACGTTCTCCTAATGTAAAAGACGCTATGCAAAATGCAAAAATAACAATTATTATTATTATATCAAATACAAGGATTATTATTGTTAAAGTGAGGTGACATGGCTCTGGGACACAAAGCCATCACCTTCCACTTACAATAAAAAATATTTAATTTCCGAATGTAATATTAGGAATAGTGAATTGTCTTTCTCTAAGTGATTTGTCTTTCTCAATTAGGAACAAAAATCTCCGCCTCCTCAAATCCCGGCACCTCCCACCACAGTAGCCCCTGAAAAGACAAGCTTGAAAGTGACAGGTAGGAGCCGTCTCTCGCCTTTCTTTGCTGTGACCTTTGGATGTACAATGGGTTGGAAGTTGCGCATATCAAATGGGAAAAGGTTGCAAACATCAAGCCTCGACTGCAGAATGGGGAAATGGGATCTGCTCAGATAGCTGCAGTGGAGGATGTGCAATTTTGCAAGCAAGCAGCGAAAATCGCAACAGTTTGCTTCCGGGAGGATGTGCTGAGTTTGATGTAATGTTTTTTCTTAAGGGTTCAGTGAAACTATTCGCACACTGGCTTTTGCCTTTCAGGTGAGAATCAATTCGCAGGCAGATCCCATCAGCCGGGAGAACCTGCACGCAAGGTTCAGGTAAGGAGGCCAAAGAGTATCCAAGAAAAGAACCATTGTATTGTGTTAACTTTGTTGACTATGTTGACTCCCTGCTCGCCAGACTTCCCAACTCCACAGGCTGCAGATGAATGCAGTTTGTTATTGTTGTTGTTGCTCTGTACCAATGAACTGTCCTTTGATTGCACATCTTCCTCGAATTATGATTGTGGAGTAAAATGATAATAATAATAATCCTTGCATTTGATATAGCGCTTTTCACGTCGGGAGGACGTCCCAAAGCACTTCACAGAACACACTGTAAAGTGAATTGACTGTATATTTATGGGCGAACGCGGCAGCCAATTGCGCACAGCAATGTCCCACAAACAGTCATAGATTGAAAATGACCAATTTATTATTGTTTTTGGCTTTGGAGGGATTATTATTAGGCTCTGTGTGGAGTAAGGAAACTTGCCCAAGGTTTCGCCCTCTGCCTGGAATTGAACTCAGGTCTCTCACTTGCAAAGCGAGTGCTCTAACCACTGAGCTGCAGGACTCCACAAAACTGAATGGAGACAGAATACAAAGGCTGTAAAGATAACTGCAGCTGTCAGTCCCCCAGGCCATGTTCTAGAATTGCTGGCAGCTCGATGCACAAAGTTGGGAGTGGGTCTATGACAGGTTGCTAATAATTTCTTCTTTGTGAGGCAGCACACGGAGCAACCCATACCAAAACCCTCCATTGTCAAAGTGCACTTCAAGTACACGGTGGTTTTGCGCGTGAAGCCAGGAATAACGCACATTGAACTGCAGGCTGCTATTTGTAAGAAGTTCAAACTAACCGAGTGCATATTTGGTCTGAGGTAAGATCAAGGCTTTTCAGATCTTCTCGATGGCTTCATCAAAATAGGAGCCTTCCAAAACATTTTGTTTTGTTTTTTTGTGCTCCTCAGATGAACGAATAATAATAATAATCCTTGCATTTGATATAGTGCTTTTATCAAATCGTTGAGATATCTCAAAGCGCTTCACAGAATATATTCTGAAGTGGCTTGCCTGCGTTACCTTGTGGATGAAACGCGTTAGCAATTGCACACAGCGACATCCCACAAACAGTCATGGATTGAGTGACCAAATTATTAATATTATTATAATACATGTTGATTGCATCCTCTGCAGTAACAATAACAATATTAACTTGCACTTATGCAACCCTTTACACCTGAAAATGAACATCTCGGATCACTCCACAAAATATAGTTGATTAGAAATGGAGTGAAAATTGCTATATAGGCAGCTAACGCACAGCATCATAATCGAGATGAGTAATTCATTGATTAGTTAATGTGGATTAGGAGGGAAAGGAATATAAATGAAGTTAAATTAAAATAACAGGTTTCTTGAATTAGTAATCGCTTTATACCCTCTTTAAATAGATGATATACCCCCCTTCCTGTTGCCCAGATATCCTGAAGCAGTTGTAGTTCCCTTATTGCCACTCCGCGTGAGATCACTAATTGAGCACAGACTACAGATCAAACTCGAGACTGTATGTTTTAACTGGTCTGTGCATTCACCATGTCAGACATCAGTGAAGCTGACTATAAGGTTTCTTTGACAAGTTTGAAAACCCATAATTTGTCATTAATTTCTCATAAGGATAGCGTAGCAACTCTCACATCAACGTTGATACTGTATTAAATTTACTGCTTATAAGTTAGGAGGTGATTGGAAAAGCCGGGTCATTTATGTGAAAAAATCAAGAAGCTATTGGGAAATGCTGGCTAATTGCTGGGTTAGCAGAGCCAGTTACTTTTCTTAATGACTGTCTACGTGCAACCTGTTTGCTTCATGTGGGAGGATATGCTCAATTCTTTCCCATCTCTTACGGTTCTTCCCATTAGTTACAAGGCGAGTGATGAGCTTATTCCCATTACCAGCGAAACCAAGATGAAGAGCGCGTGGAGTCAGTCCAACAATGGACGTCTGACAATTTGGTGTAAATATCTGAAGGTAATATACAATACAAAATGACATGTATATAGCGCCTTTCACGTAGGGAAGACGTCCCAAGGATCTGGGATGGCCACAAGTTGCTAATATAAGTACATTGTAATTGACATGAGATGGTAGAAAGGGAGTGCATTGAAGCTCTGATCTGAATCTCCCTTGCACTTTCATCACTCTCATCCCTGCCCCGGTAAAGGGATCATTTTCAAAACCTTCCAAAGCTTTTGCAACCTCCTATCTTTGTAATTTTTTCTAGTCGTACTTCCTAGACCCTCGTTCATCCCTCTTCTGATGCAACTTTATAGCCCCCCCCCCCCCCCCCGACGCTTCACTGTTGTAAGCTGAACCCTCAAACACACCCTTGATCTCTGAAACTCTCTTCCAAAATCATCTTCACCTTGCTATTTCAAACCCTGCTTTCTAAACCTCCTGAAAAACTATTTTGACTATACTTTGAAACATCTCTAAATTCATTTCTTTTTCATTATTATTCATTTATAGGGGTAATTAATGACCATAACAGATTGCCAGGAAAGGTGGTTGAGGCTGTGATGGGAAGATGAAGTGTGGGGTTGGGGGAAGAGAGAGGTAATTCAGGAAAGATATGATCAAATAGGCCGAAGGGCCTTCTTCATCCAAACCAATCTTGTGATGTATCCAGGTAATGGCACTGTATGACTACGAGACCTCAGAACCTGGCGATCTGCTCTTTCAAGAGGGTGACATCATTCACGTTTTAGCACAAGGTAAGAATGAAGGAATTCTTCACCTAAGATTTCAAAAGGGAGAAAGAGAATGGAAGCACAGTATGTGTGTTACATGTCTGTTGTTTCACAGTTGAGCTTCTAAAACAGAAAAAATACAGCACAGCAGGGTTCCACAAACAGTTGTGGATTGAATGACCAAATTATTAATTTTTTTTGAAGGAATTATTACCCCCAGAAAACAATCTGCCATTCGACTAACAACCAGGTTCCTACTTACTGCAAGGTAAACAGAGGCGTGTGGAGTAAGGAAACTTGCTCCATGTTTCGCCCTGCCCAGGAATCCAACTCAGGTCCTCTCGTTTGCGAGGTGAGTGCTCTAAGCACTATGCTACGCGACTCCTATTGTACGCATATCTTGCCAAAGGCCCTATTTAGCAGCACTTGGGTAATAATCAAAATGAATACCAGTGCATTCTGAAAGGTACATTTCACTCCCCTTCTCTAGCTTGCATGGATCTCATTTCAATGTTGTTTCAGTGACTTGAGTTTCTTGCATCTCTCCGCAGTGAATCAGGACTGGCTTGAAGGGCAATGCAAAGAAAATATTGGTATCTTCCCTTCAATCTTCGTCAAACAGTTGAACATGGACAACATATCAGATGCAAACATTTAAATTTGTGCTGAATTTTTCACCTCCCAGACAGAAATCTGAGCAGGGAGAAATTCCACCTGAATGTAGATTCTCTCATTTACGTAGCATATTAAGAGTGTCCAGAATTTGGCAATTTGTTGAATTCCACCCTAACTTTAAAGTTGTTAAAAGAACTTATAATAATGCATTTAATATATGAAGAATGACCATGGGATCTAAAAGAGAATTTAGGAGAAACTACTTCATGCGATTAATAAGATTGTGGAACTTGCTGCCTGAAGCGGTGGTTGACCCAGATAGAAGCCAGACCTTCACCTAAGAAAGGGATAGCAGGATAAGGGAGGAACTTATGGGTAAAAACTTGTGTGGTATTTATGGGTATAAACTCGGCACAGACCCTTGGGCCGAGTGGGCCATTTCCATGCTGTACATTCATTGCAAATTTTTGTAGAAGTTTTCAAATTTAAGGCAGTATTTAAGAATTTGACAAATTCAGGACATAAAATGCTAGTCAATCTAAACCCAGGACAAATTTCTCCCCACACATTTTTTGAAACCAGGCTATTTTAAACGGTTTAGTGGCATTTGCTTGATGCTTGAATGACCCTAAGCGAGATATTTTGAGTGTAGCAACTGATGGCATGAGCACGGTGGATGGATTAGAGGCACACATCGTCAAAATTGTTACACCAAGTCGCTAGCAGAACATTATGTACAGCATTTCAGTCGAGTTACAACTGTGACATTCGTACTCTAAAGCTTAATCCGGGACGTTACCTTGCGTGAAGCGTGCTAAATAAATGCAAGTTGTTGTTATAGTAATCAGTGAAGGTATTGGGTCCTACTTTATGTATATTTCCAAAACATTCAAGGTCTGTTTACTCATCTTATATAGTGTGAGGAGTTCAGAGACCATGGTCATGTTTGCAATGGAAGAACAAAAACAAACCAGGTTTGTGAATATTAGAATTTTAACAGCATTATCAAATAGAAAAGGATTCAACCAGTACATCGAGGTAACATTTTATATTTAAAAGCATGCTAATGTAAGTGTCACTTATTTAATATCAGAATAAAATATTTGTAAAAATTTCTATTCAGTTTCACTCAATTGTTTTGCAGTTTTGTAAAAAGGTTATTTGAGTTATTCCTGATTTCCAAGCACACTACTTTTTGTGAACGTTTCAACAGTTTTACCTTTGCTCTTGCAATGAAAGCACTGTTACTCCTCATACTCATGCTGGGTCTGGAATTCCAGAACACAGAACCTGATCGCTTTGAATGGAAATCTTCAGTTGTAAAATGGACAACTTTATTCAGTGAACCTTACAGTTGATTAATTAAAGAATCCAGTTAGGAAATAATGGCAATGTCTTTACAGCTAAACTCCTCTTGAAAAGCTTTGGGATGTGCTTTACATTAGATATTGTAAAGTATGCACTACATTTTGCACTTAAGAGATTTTCTTCTAGGAGTTCATTAGATAAAAAAACATGCAGAGAAACAAGCATCAAACAAACACACATGGTTAGAACATGGTTTCATTTATTGAAGGCAAAGCTGATTCCAGCAATTGCTGCACAAGTTCTTACACAAAAAGGACATGAACACAAAAGCTTAGAACATAAACCATTTCCCGAGGGCCCTGTACTCTTTCTTGCAGTGCTCCTGTTCCCCAGAAATATAATCTATTCTGAACAGTGTACATGCATGCAGGTTGTGAACAACTTGCTCTGGTGCTTTTGTTAACCTTCTAGGACTTGTCGGCTCAGTGGGAAGGAAGACCTGGGGCCAGGCGATTCAGTACAAGAGTAGATTTAGAGATGTGTGACCAGAGCAGAACGGTGGAATGTTTCTGTGGGCTGGGCTGGGTGTCGAGTTGTACTTGTGATGCAGAGTGCTGGTTTGCAGTGGGTGGGTTGGGAAAAGGGAGGGTCGTCATCTCATTAAACAATTGCTTCCCATCTTAGAGGCCGTTGCAGTCTAGTTACCAGACGGCAATTTTCTACTGGAAAATTCTAGTTCCTTTAGTCTCCCCCACTTTTCCATCCAAGCATCAAGTTATTACCGCTCTGGTTTGAATTGTCCTAGCACCTGTCTGAGATACATAGTGATGTGCCAAGCAGCATGTGACCTTAGTTTCAAACAAACTTCACAGTGACACACACAATGTGACCCCCTCACCTGAAAATAACAAACATTCTTTTCCCACACAGTTCCAGCATCTTTCTGCACCAGAAATCCACTGTAGGAGTTTCAACAAGCAGATTTAGATTAGGATGACCCGAGGATGGTTTTAAACACGCATAGTCCCAATTGAGCCTTATAAACTCTACATTCTGATCTTTCCGCGAAGCTCAAAAGGACAAATGTTTGTTACATTCAACAGCCTGAATATTACTTGTGACGAGCAGTGAATGACCCATGCTTTTTAGTCCCCCCTCCCCCAGTTTTAATGGGAGCAGCACATGGGCACACGCAGTAAGACACACCCACAGTACAAGTGGCCCATCCACCCACTCACTCGCCCACCCACTCGCTCACTCACTCACCTGCATTGTGCCCCGTTTTGCTGAACCAGCAGCATTGCTGGACCCGTTCACTTTTTTTGCAAGACATGGCCAAATCAGGAATTAAAAATGACCATCCGACACAACAAGCCGACAGAAGCTGTTCTTACCTAGTAATTAAAAGCCTGAACTAGAACTAAATAGATAAATTAACCAGTTTCAAGGTTTGTATGCTATAGTAAAATTTATAGCTACTATTATAATCAAAAAACCACTAATTTAAAATCCCTAGCAAGTACTGCCTTTTTTTGTTTGAAGCAGAGCCCTCTGCTGCACATCTTACCCCCGCTTTAGCTAGGACTGCTACAGAACAGTATCACAAAGATTTAATATTGTAATTCCTACTGCAGCTATTGACATTAACAACTATTTTTTTAAAAAAAAAATCTAGAGCTAAAGGTGCAGTGATGTGAAGCTGTTTTGTTTCATACACACAAAACCCTTGCCTGTCTGAAAAGATGCCTTCATATAAATTCTTTGACAGAATGCCTCTGCACATCCTTATGTAATAGGTTCGAGGAAAGCTGATGAATGGGCCAGTGTCACTACACTTATAGATTACGAGCACGCCTGTTCCTCAACAGAGCACAAAATGATCACTCTCAACAACCAAGATGATAGAGGATTAAAAAATTAAACCATTTCCTCTCTAGCAGAGCATTCATTAGTTGATTCTTTTTAAGATTTGCTGTTATAATGTAACACTAACTTCAGCCCACTTGGCTGGTTATCTCCCATCTCATCCCCCTTTCACTGCCTGACTGCAATAGTGATGTACAAAATGGACAGGAACCTAGGAGGGATTTTCGAACGAGCAGATCAAGTGGTTGAGATAACTGAGTGAAACAGATGATGGCCCTTCCTCTGGAAGTGACAGGAAGCATGTAATGTTCTTTTTATTTTGTTTGTTTTTCCTCAGCAGCAGCTTTGTGCACACTCAGCACTGGTGGAGTGCTTACGCCCTCTCAACAGCAAGAGAACAGAGAAGAGGGCTGCCACCCGCAGGGGACCGTGGGCTGTAATGCAAACCCAACATGCCTTGAGTTGTGTAACCTGGATTCACCGGTCATGCCATTGTGCCGCTCAGTGTGGTGGGTTCAGTGTGCCGATTCCTCGCTGCTGCTTCTGTTTCTGCTGCATTAGCAGCTGCTCCAGTGCGGAGGGTCCAGGATGCATCATCGAACTGGACCAGATCGACTGAAAAGAAAATCCCAAAAATCTCTTTAGGCGACATCTTTCAGTTATGAATTGCAGTAATCCTTGATGCTACTTCAGTTATTTGCCATACAAGCATTCCCCTATACCCTCTAGGTAGATAAAGTCCAGACACTTGGAATGGTATTGTGGGTTTTATACTTAGGGCATAGAGTAAGAAAGGTACAGCAATACTACTACGTTTGCATAAAGCATGGGTAGACTGTAACTGTAATAATGTGTTCATTTTGGGTACCTTACTTCAAGGATGTTAAGACCTTGGAAGGGGTGCAGATGAGATTGACAAGCATGATGCAAGGGATGAAAGACTATAGTTATGAGGAGAGACTGGATAAGTTGGATCAGTTTTCACTGGAGCAAAGAAAGATAAGGAGGCCTGATAGAGGTGTACAAAATTATGAAGGGTTTGACAGTATAAATAGTGAGAAGATAAATTCCACTGGTAGGGGGATTAGAGGATTATAAGAACAAGAATTTAGAAGAATTTTTCCCCCGAACACAGTTGTTGGGACATGCAATTTCCTCAAAGGTGGTAGAAGCAGAAACATTCATCCTGAACGCCAGGAAGCAATTTTAATTTGGATTCAGTACTAGTTTTTAAAAAGTAGCTTTTTAGACCAACCATTTCGATGACAAGTGCTATCACCAAACTGTTCAAATAAGTTAATTCCGTCACTACCAAGGTCCATATTCAGGTCATTTTGAAGCCAAAGACAGACAGACACATGTGGCCTGGAATGTTGGAACTGTCTGTCAGAATGGAGACGAGGATGATACGTTGGAGATTTTAGTCTTTGGAGTTTGTGCTGAATTACCTACTGTGTGAATGAAATCCTCCCCTAAACAAACGCTTGAGTCAGTGAGTCCGTAATGTAGTGCATATTTGTGGAGGGAGTGTTCTTAATGGGGCCAAATGGTCTTGTTCTGTACTGTATGTTCTTAAGCCCTGGCAAGAGTCACTTTCAGCAGTAGCAGTAAAGGGGCAAAGGGAGGAATATAAAATCTAATACCTTGAAACTGTCCAAGAGCAGCGTGGACGAGTCGTCCAGTGTGGTGTCTGGGGCGGCCCATGTGTTGCTGGGAGTGCTGCCCTGATGCCAGCTGTTGTCCGAAGACGAAGATGCAGCAGGCAGATAGTCCAAGCCAAATCCACTCATTGCTTTGAAAATAACCCCCCCAAAAAAGTGTTATTGATTTTACCACAAACTATAAAAAAAATTCCAAACTTTAAGTAGACATCGAAACTCAATTTTGTTACTTTTTGCTGTAATGGTCATTTGAGGTTTACTGCATACCCTACCTGGCTTGTCTGTACGCTTCATGTTCCAGCGGTCAGTCAGTCTCCTCTCACTGTTGTCAGGAGTTCCAATCGGTCCAAAACCAGAGAAACAGTTCTGGTTGTGAGTTGGAGGAGAGCTGGGTAGGCTGCTAGGATTGGAGGAGTGAGGAGACTGGCTTGCTGGTGTTGAGTGATCTATTTTTTTTTAAAAAAGAGAAAAAGGAGAAAATTGAAGTTATTTCAAGCCCGTGACTTGCATGTTAAAAACCTATCTATATCTCTGGGTCTGCTGAGGGAACTTTTATTCAACTCCTAATTTGATACATATATAGATATCATTACACAATGGAGTAACCCACAAGTTGTCTCTTTAAGTGTGATCACATAAACATTTAATAATAATACGAAGCTCATTTCAAACAAGCAAAACAACAGTAGGTTAAAATAATCTAAAGAACAGCACCCGAGATACACTTTTCAGGGCCAACAGAAAATACAGGGAAATCTGACAAATTTTGTGGAAAATTGAGGGCAGTTGGAGGGGAGATGTCAGGGGGTATAGTAAATTCTGCAGTAAAATTGCGGGCTCACTTTTCTATTGGCCTGAGTCATTAGAAAGGTTAAGATATCACATAGGTGTCATAATCATGCTTTCCTGACTCAGACAAACACAGTACCTACGTGAAGGGAAATACAATCATCAAATTATTCAGCTAAATTTGTGGAGAAATAATTTACAAAATAATAATTCTTGCATTTGATATAGTATGGTATACATCACGTCACTGAAACGTCTCAAAGCATTTCACAGAAGTTACAAAGTTGAGTGACTGTATATTTTGTGGGTGAAACGCGACAATCAATGGACCCAGCAGTGTCCCACGAACAGTCATGGAGTGAATGACCAAATTATTATTTTTTTAATCTCTGCAACCCTAAACAGAATTTCAACCTTCAAATTTTACAAGATAAATTGAAACCTGCATTACTTTATTATTGTATGCGAAAATCCCATCAAATTGGAAGTTACTGGGAGATTTTTTGGGTGTGAGGCAAAGGTGGAAAAAATAGTGATATTCTTACAATTGCCAGATAATAAATGAAGGCGAATTGTACTTCGAAACAACTCACCTGAACTGGCAGGAAGGGATGGAGACCAAGGATTTCCATCAAACAGCGAATAACAGGAGGCCTCGTGGAATGCGTGTGGTGGCATATTCTCAGATTTGCCACTAGGTGCTAGGTGCTTGCCATAAACCTCACTGAAAATGCTGTTATTCTGACAGTTTTCCTGAAAGCAAGTGGAAAGAGATGAGTACTACGGAGAACTTCACAATCAGTTAGACGTGCAATGTTAAACCACATGATCTATACAAATGTCTCATACTGATCAGAAGATTTTTTTGAACAAGAGCAATAAGCAAAACACGCAGTGTCTTGCGATTAGTTTAACAGAGATTACAACAGGAAAACATTACCATTAGCACAATTCTTCCTCACTCTCTGAATTCTAAATGGATTTTACTAGATAATATACCTGATTGAGTGGAAAAGGAGGCAAGGGCAATAAAGAGGAGGAAGAAATCAACTCCGAGGACCTGTCCAGCCGAGATCTGTTAGGCATCTAAATGGAAGAAATGGAGAAAGAACGGGAAACATTATTTTAATACATCATGTCAATTACAAAATCAAATGAAGAATCTACAATAGCTGCAGAGCAAAAATGAGTGAGATTAAGTTGGTTTATGATGAGCATATTTCACTGCTGGACTTAAATACCAATGGCCATATAGTATATTTGCCGGTTACTTATGACACACAGAAGCATGGTTGCTATTAACTAAACGTAGCCAGGAATCTTCACAGGTAACTGATGATAGTGCTGAGGGGACATCATCAACACACCTCCTTAACAAGTTTCAAGTATAAAAGGAAAGACAGATTCCATATATGCATTTCTGAACAGATCATGCGTATGTACGAATTATAGAAATGTAGGCAATGTAGGGATGGTGGAAAAGAAAATTAAATTATGAATAAAACACAAAGTAACTTCCAACATGCAAACATGGGAAAAGTTGTAATGTTGTGGCAGATTTAACTCTGGATGGTCAAGGCAGCATTTTGTAGTCTTGGCATGTACAAAGAATGGTATTTAGCACACTGATCAAATTTAATATCAAGCTAAATTCACTGAATCAATCACTAACAAAACCACTACTCTGACCCGATGCTCCCACTAGAAGGCCTGCCATTTGCGATAATGCTTGTAGTTTCACCCTCAAAACTCTTTCTGCACAAAACACAACGAAGCTAAGAAACCTGCTAAAAGGTTGTCTTTCTGTACTTGGTTTGCAGAAGTTTCAAACTTTTGCAGTACAGGTCAGTTTCAGGAACTTGATATTTGGGTATTCATATGATGTGGAATTTATTGATGTCATCAAGCAATTACAATTTTTTAGATTTTTTTTAATGTTATTAATAAAGTAATCCTTGCATTTGATGGTGCGTCTTTCACATCCCAAGCTGCTTCAACTATACTGTAAGGTGCAGGCACTGTGTGTATTGAGGCCAAATGCAGCAGCCAATCGCATACAACAATGTCCCACAAAGAACCATGAAGTGAATGACCAATTTTATTTGGGAGATTGTTGGCCCAGACATCAGGCGAAACTCCCTTCTCTTTTTGAATAGTGCCATGAGATCTTTTAACATCCACCTGAACAGGCAGACGGTGCCTCAATTTAACATATCACCTGAAGGATAAGACATTTTATTCAACATAATCTAGAGTTGCATGCACGCAAAATATTGTACTCAGTTTTGAGATTAAGAAGTAATGCAGATCAATTCAGTTTATTCAGCAGTTTGTTATCAAACCCTCATCCACATCTTCATCACTTCTCAACTCACCTTTTCAAATTCCCTCCACACAGACCTCCCCAGGACCACCATCTACAAGCTGCAGCTTATCCAAAACTCGATGGCCCATATTCTTATCACAAAAAACTTAGTGTGACCGTAAGCGCGGTTGTCAGGCTCTATTGTCTCCAAGAAGATTGACTTCAAGATCCGTACTGTCCAGCCTTTGTAAATCCTTACCCTCACCTACAAATCCCTCCATGCCCTCACACCTTCCTTCCTCTAGGCTTCTCGAAACTCACTCTCTTACTCGTCCCCTCCGCTCAGCAAACGCAGACCTTCTGTGCATTCCTTCCTCCTAGTTATCAGCAGCCGAGCCTTCAGCAACTATGTCCCCCCCATCCTCAGGAACTCCCTCTATCGACCTTTGCTTTGAAAAGTATAGTTTTTGGGCAAAGACATGTCTGTTCAATTTTGTACTGGAGTTCATACCTTTCCTTAGTCCCGTTAGCCCTTTTCCTTACACTTATGGTCAAGAGAAAATTGACGTAATTTAACAATACTTTTTAAAGTGCAAGATAAGACTAGACCAGTATTACCTTAGAGTTTCAACTTAAAAAGAAACCTTTTAGCACATTTTAGCACTTCCTAAAGAGCTATGGTACAGTGCACTTCAGAACGGTTTGCCTGCCCCCACCCCATGTTTAAATTGTGGTTCAAATTACTCCAAATATATCAATTACACAGAATCTACAGCAACAAAACTGGCTCTTTGGCCCAACTCATCCAAGACAGTTTATATTCCAGCTGAACCTCCACTGACCCTAATCCCCTCTCAAGCCTCCCATACCCCACTCTTTAGATGTGAAAGATAGTATATAAATGCAATTTATTGTTTCCATAATAAATAATTCTTGCATTTGATATAGGCCACATCAGGAGGACATCTCAAAGTGCTTCATAGGATTCAATGTGAAGTGCAGTGACTTATGTTTTGCACGCATTACATTGTATGCCAACATCATATTAGAGACAAAGGGAAAACACTTGGGACATCTAAATAGTCTTTAATTCAACCTGAAGTTACCCCAACAATTCCAGTGGGAGGAAGCTCTGACATGCAATACTCTGCAGTATGTTGATAAGATTGAATATTTTCATAACTATAATTTTTTTCTCTCACACACACACACAAGTGTTGCTTGAGAACAGTTTTAAAAAATGGAGTGGACAATGTATCCTCAGAATCTCTGCTGGCAACTTTCCATCATGATTTGATCACACGCAATTTCAAAAGATTGCTGGCGATAGAATCTTTGTTCTTCAATTTAACATGCTCCAGTTAAAAACAATTTGAAAAACTGATTCAAGCAGAGTGCTGCTGCTAATGTTATGCACCAGTACCACAATTAAAAACAGAAAATGCTGAGCAGATTGGATTTGATGGTCTCATTCATCTACAACCTAAGGTAGCCCAAGAGTTAACGGTACATTCATTTGATATTTAAACAAAGATAGACTGCACCCAGTACAGCACTTGATGACAAGAACAGAAACCTGAAGTTTCAAATATTCTGCTGAGTTAGCTAATTGCAGTCAGGGTAATTAATAATATAATTCTTACATTTACATAATCCTTACATAATAATACAACCCTTACATAAAGTGCCTTTCGCGTCGGGAGCATGTCCCAAAGCACTTCACAGGATATACTCTAAAATGCAGAGACTGTGTATTCAAAGGCAAATGCAGTGGCCAATTTTCACATTGGCTGTGAAGTGAATGACCAATTTTATTTGGGGAGAGTGTTGGCCAGAATATCGTGAGGAAATCCCTTCTCTTTTCAAATAGTGTTATGGGATCTTTAACGTCTACCTGAACAGGCAGACAGTTGGGTTGTTACAATTAATGTACCTAGGTGAGAAAGGATGTGAGGTTGAAATACAATCAAGTCAGAGTTTCTGCTCCTGATTGCTTATTAGAAATCCGTACTGAAATCCGATTTCTGGAGTTGGGGGAAGAGGACAAGATCAGGAGTTGGTTAGGATGTCCCCAAGAGCCTCCTAACACTCCCAATCTGGAGAAGAAAATTGGAGAACAAAATAAAAAAGCTCCATTAAGTCACTTGTATTGACAGAAACACTCATGCTCCTTACATTTCTATCAGGTCTCCAATACAGGCCGAGCTGGATGAATGTAATGGATCCCTGAAGTAAACGGATGTTAGTCAAAGTACTTGGAAGCCAAAGGTGTAATTCAAGACCAATGAAGGGAAGCAAATGGAATTGAGTGCGGAATAGAATACTCCACTAAAGGAAGCATTTTCACTGCAACTTAATCAACAATATTTCACTTCAACATATTTGTAAGCTTTGTTAATCTGGTAACTAGTTTTTTTGGCCAATGTTCTATTCTTTGGCTAGTCCAACCTTTGCTCAATAAACAGAATAGGTTCACCACTTGATAATAATAATTGCATTTTATATTGCACCTTATGTCAAAACATCTCAAAACATTTCAGAAATTTCTGTAAAGTGTAGTGATTGCATTTATATGCAAATTGCAGCCAATTTACAGGCAGACTGAACCTTGATTTAACGTCTCATGGAAGGGCAGCACCTCCGAAAATGCAGCGCTCCCCCTGCACTAACATGTTAGCCTAGACTATGAACTCAAAGCCCAGAGGATTTCTCGTTTTCAAAGTTATTAAAATACAATAAACTGCAGGTGTTAAGACTGCTGAAAACTGCATTAGCCCTCATCAACTTAAACTATATCCTTACTGCATGTAGTACAGCCAACTTCCTTTTTATGATACAACTCCCTGTCCTCAATGAATCAACCTAGTTTTGCCATCTCACCATTCTTTAATAATGATCAATGTCTCCCTGTTCTATGTGCAGTACTTTCTGTATTATACCAGTCACCTTTCAATCCTGATTCCTTTCAATCTCCAGCCATAGCCAATGTAAAAAGGAATGGGAATATATGTTGCCCCTCTCATGCCTTACTCCATATCGCACTCATCTACCAACTTATAGATGCGTTCCTCTCGGAACCTTTCATTCTCTCAGACCACATCTTCCAAAACATTGTCAATTTACTGCCAAGCAAGGACATGAAGGCTGATGTGAAATTAATCTTGCAGACTTGCCTTAGGGACTGACCAGTCCTACTTGATTTTAGCAAAGAGCTTATTTTAGCTTCTTTTCAAAAATATTCAACCAGAAACACATACAAAAGCAAAAAAAAAAGTTTAAATTAAACTAAGTTTAATTTAAACTAAAATGACAATGGTTTCACAGAAACTTAAAACCATTGAGTGAGTACAGCCGCTTTGGTTCCTAGTCCGTCCGTCTGAACCCTCCACCCCTCCGCCCCAAACCATAGCAGTCTCTTATTCTCCATTACAACAGTTGCATTAAACAGAACATTAAAGGTAAATGCAAAATAGGTAAATATGTAGACTACAGCCAAATTACTGCCGTCGCTGCTTGAACTAAGAACAATACTTAAACTATTGTTCGCTTTAAGCACTTGTCAAGACTGGAACTACAAGACAGAAACAGAAGAACAAAGTAAGTACATACAAAGAAACCTCTCCCAGAAGCACTGCCCAGAGAGCCAGCCAAAGCCTGGTAGAAATCATGGGGTTTGGAAAAAGCCAGCTCCTCCTCCTCCTCAAAGTCAGCAATACTTTTTAACAGGTCAGGAGGCAACAGAGGTGAGCTCTTGGCATCCTACAGATAGAAGAGGAACAGAGGAAGAAAGTATACTGAGACAGAGGAAACAAAAAAAATCAGCAAAGACTTAGATCTTGGCTCAGGACCAAAAATACAGCAAATGTAATAGCAGAGCAGAGATTTGTGACTACATTATAAAAAAGACCTTTTAACTGAGTGGTTCCCTTTCAGCATAATTTACCTAATAGCTGAATCAATACTTGAGGAATTGGGGATTGCTTGTGTGTATTAAGAGAGAAGATTTCAAACAAATGAAGTCCAGGGATAATGTTAAACAGTCTAAAGCACAGTGTTAACGTCAGTGAACCATGAATGCAAAAAGGACTACCAAGGAACATTTACATATAGTGATAGTAACTTGGATTACTGTTAAACTGTGTGCAGCAGTAATAGTTTACATCAGTCTAATGTATTTATGGAGAACCTTGGACATAGTAATTCACCTTTGTTTACATTTGCAAAAACATCTAGAAAGTAGCTATTTGTACACAGTTCTGCATTTACAGCTGAACTTTAAAGATCATCAAATCTTTCACGCATCTGTTGCACTGTCAAACCATTAAGCAAGCCCTCTTGACAAGTAGTCTAACTATATCAAAGTATGATTAATATTTCAAGATGTTAATACAAAGACTAAGAGGCTGCTGAACTTAACTGTGAAATATAGATTATGGTAGGTGGAGTAGGACAGACATAGAAAGTTGCAAAAAAAGAGCGACGAGGCAGTACCCTAGGTTCTGTTCAAGCAATAAATAAGTCAATAATTCTGAAACACTTTAGTGGGGCGAGGGGAGAAGAAGCAAAGGGAGTCAATTTCACTCAGTAAAAAGTTCAAACTTTTCTCATGAAACATCAGGCTGGGATGCTGGTTTAAACCTGGGGGGAAAAAAATCTACCTAACTAGCTTGGAGGACATTAACAAGTAATGAAAAGCCTTTCCTAAAAACTGTAGACCTGATAACTATCCAGAATAAATCAAAACACAAAATATGCCAAACCAAAGCCATGCAGTATTGATCAAATTCAGATGTTTCCTTGATGTTGAGGGTGAACCATTTTGCATTCCTATTTGTCTCTTCTATAATATTGTATTTCCATGAGCAAAGGCTTTCACAAATTTGCACCAAGTCTAGGGACCTTTTCATTCAGTTAAACCCAACAGGTTAATCTGGAGCAGAAATCTGCTTCTAATGTTGAAGAACGGGAGAGCTAAAAGGAGGACAAGGATAATCTTTTGATCTCTGAGACTTGCCTGGCAACATCATTTTACTGAACGGATTTATCCTGTGTAAACTAAATGAATTAACAGCTTTCTTGGGAGTGAAATATAAGCTGTCTACTGACATGCAGAACATTTCAACCATGGCTTGTATGCATTGCAGTAAACATGATCTATATTTGGATCAGTTGGTAGCTTACCTCAAATGATTGCATTCTAGGCATACTGTCCTGGTCAGATCGGAAGACGCCTTGCTGTCGCTTCACCAGACGATCGTTATTCATATGCTGCCCCCCCATCATGTGCCGCATATCTGACATGCTATAGTCCCAGGCAAACTCCTGCATTTTATGCACATCTGAAGGACTCTGAGTAAACGATTCCATTGGGAAAACCTTCATGTTCTTTTCCATTTGCACTTGATTTTGCTGAAGTGACTGTTCAAACAGCTTTAATGGGTCCTGATGGATGTAATAGGGCTGCTTTAAAGCCATCTGGATAGAAGTCTTCTGAAGTTGAGAGGGGACCGGGTGATGGTGGTTCCACAGCTGGTTGGTCTGGTCAGCCTGCAGATACTAAATGTGAGAAAATAAAATACATCAATTGTCAGGAAATAAAAATGAATCACCTACCTTCAGTGATCTTTTTTGTGGGAAGCATTTCTATCCGCACAACTTGTGTAAACAAAGAAAATTAATCAACCATGGTCCAAAGGTAATTTACATGCCTACAGCACCATACAAGTGCTCCGGGTACCGCTACCCCGCGTGAAATGCGCTAAATGGAATTTGTTCTTCCAAGTGCTCTCCTCTTTCCCAAGTTGCATACTATAAACATACAATTCATGGTCATCCTTTATCCTTTTTCCCCCCCATTGTCAGTGAAGTGAGCATATCTCCAACATCACTCAATAAGATTGACATTAATATTAAAAAAACGAGAAGATATAACTTCCCCTTCCCCCGCTCTCATTTGGCTATCCTTCACAATAACATGGTCAGGACCGAGCAGGTCTTTATTTGGGGTGGGTTTGAACCTTGGACTGGAGTAGGTTAACTAGCTTTTAATGTGATGCGGAAGACGACAAATTTTCATTGAGTGTTTATTAAATGTACAATTGTTTTTTGTAATCTTGAATTCTTTTGAAAGTAACATCTGAGAAAAAGGTGTCAGTTCAGATGTTGGTACAATAAAATCCGTAACGGAAAATACGAATTTGCTAACTTTCAGTGAAGGATAATTTCGGTGCAGATAATTGAAAACTAGTTACAAAATTTGCACTTGTTGCAAAGCTGTTGATATAAACCACCGTATTTTTAAAACTTTCTTTAAAATATAATAATCCTTGCATTTTGATATAGCGCCTTATCATGTTGCTGAGACGTCTCAAAGTGCTTCACAGAATATCCTGTAAAGTGAATTGACTGTATTTTGTGGGCAAAATGCAGCAGTCAATTTTGCACAACAGTGTGCCGTAAACAGTCGTGGGTTGAGCGACCAATTTATTATTATTATTTTTTATTTTTGAAGAGATAATTACCCCAAAAAACAATCCGCCAATTGACTAACAACCGAGTTCCTACTTGCTGCTAGTCAAACAGAGGCGCATGGAATAAGGAGACTTGCCCAAGGTTTTGCTCTGTCCAGGAATCCAACCAGGGTCCTCTCGCTTGCAAGCCGAGCACGGTAACCATTACGGTACAAAAATCTTTATAAATATCAATATTCTAAACCTGTCTGTGGATTCAATACTTACAGCTCAGTTACATCATAAACAGCAGACACTGGGAACACCCACTTCTAAGCAAGTAACTAAAAACAAAACTTAAATATCTAAATATGTGAAAATTCTACTGTTTGCATTTTCCCGTAACACTGAAGGATTCATCTGTTTCAGCTTACCTGCTGAGGTCCAAGGTGGTGCTGATTCTTTCCCATCTGTTGTGCTGGCTTGGTGGGTGATTGCTGCTGGTTCACAGTCTGCACCTGGAGCTGGGACTGGGGCACCTGTTGTTGCTGACCTTGTTGCTGTTGGGGACCTTGGTTTAGTGGCCCTTGCCCCGATGGCCGCTGCTGGCTGTAAGGGACATGGGACTGTTTCCCACCTGGCACCTGGTTTCCTGACTGAGGGTGGCCAGCGGCTTGGAGGTAGGGTCCTGGTATGGAGACCCCAGGTGGAAATGTATAACCAGGATTCATCTGGAAAGTAACAGGTGGAGACACCAGATAGGGAGGTGGAGGAAACCCTGCAACAAAACAACAAGTATTACTATGGCCATCACCAGGCATTTTAATCTCTGATAAGTGTCCGTGGCACTTCCCAATCTGGCACAATATAAAATGCACCTCATCAATAATCAGTCTTTCTAGAGCATGAGATTTAAAGGGCTGGGAGGGATATGTTTCTTTGTTTTTCATTATTTTCCAATTTCTACACAACTGGAAGTAACAATCCTATAAAGCAAACTAAGCCAGTATTAAATATTCACAGAATATTAAGCTGCTCATGGTTTTATATAGGATAACATTTCAAGTGCATTGCAAGGCCAACACACACACAAACATCTCACTGGATTGAGACCAACGAAACTCACTTGATTTATAATATTAATCCTTGCATTTTATATATCCCCTTATATCACATCATGAGGAAGTCTCAAAGCACTTCACAGGATATACTGTAAAGTGCAGCGACAATGAAATGGCAGTCAATTTGCCCACAGCAATGTCCCACAAACAGCCATGAAGTGAACAACCAATTTTATCTGAGGGATTGTTGGCCAGGAGTCTGAGACAAACTCCCTTCTTTTTTCAAATTGTGCCAATTTTAACATCCGCCTGAGCAGGCAAGGACCCTAGTTTATCATCTCACTCGAAGGACCACACCTCCCACATTAAGCGCCCCTTGTAATGCACTGAAGATCAGTCTGGACTATGCAATTTCAAAGTCCCAACTTGGGGTTTGAACCCACATCCTTCGGACTCAAGAGGCGAGAGTGCTACCAACTGAGCCAGTCTGATTTAGGATTCCTACAACTTTTATCCCGACCCCATGGACTAGATAAGGGACAGTTTCCAGTAGAGCCAGTCCTCTAAATTCCACTATGCCAGCCACTGTAAAACTAAATCAAGTGCCGTGTGAAATATTCGCAATTTTAAGTGCCTCGACTGCCTCACCTGGTCGGCTCGGAAGAGGAGGAAATGCTCCTGGATGGTGAATGGGGATAAACTGCGAGTTGCTGGTCTGGGTCTGTGACTGACTCACTGGAGTTTTCCTAGCCTCCGACACTGGTGTTTTTCTCAGATCCGTTTGAGCTTTTACCTAGTGAGCATAATGATACATTATCAGTTAAATACCAGTTACATCAAAATACTCTACATTGGATTCTTACAACATGTATCAAATGCTAACCCCATGGATCTTTGTGATACTCGACAAATCCCACAATAAAGTTATAATATTTATCAGTAGATTGTTGTTGTCCAGAACCATTGGAGACAATTTACCAGTTGTTAAAATGTCATTTCATAAAGAAAAAAGATTTTGTTCAATGGCAATTTTAGTCAGAATGTTCACGATACTGCAGAGCAAGGGGTGAAACCTATTTTTTAATCAACTCCCAAAATAGCGCTTTTTATGATCCAAATTCTGCTTCTCAATATTCCAACAATAGTAAGTGCACGTAGAGTATTATGAGAGGCAGCCCAATAGATTGAGGGGCTTTATATAACCCAGTGGCTCTGAAAGTGCTGGCAAACTGCTCATAAGTTGTTTTTTATAACATGGTTAACTCCACAGATTCCCAATGTTACTGAGACATAGCTCTCACCATCACTGACTATAGAGTTCCTTGTTTGGTCACAGGACCTCAATTCTTACTGTAATTAAAACTGGGAACCCCACTGCATCTGCCCCCTTCTTGCACCTGAATGTACTACACTCGAACAGAAAGATTGGGTTTCACAGCCAATACTGCCCTCAAGTTATATCTCCCAAACTGAGACAGCAAGGGTCATCCTGCCTAAAATGATACCCAACCTGGTGCCGCTTTGAATGGAGGAATCATAGCTCAGTAGCAATAAGGACGAACGCTGTCTGACTACAAGCCCATAGATACTGAGGCCAATTGTAACATCTCCGTCACAGAGAACTATTATATGAAAGACTTGTCTAACCAAGATGCAATTTAAAAGATAGAATATTAGCATAAGGGGGGGGGGGGGGGGATTACCACACTTTGTAAATTAATTTCAAAACCTGACTACTAAAGTTGGAAAGTGACTTGTTAATACAGGTTATCATTTAATATATCTATAATTGTTTGGAGACTGCTGAGAAGTAGATTTGTTGCAAGATTAAGTGACATTAATAACTGGGCTGTGGACTCCTGACCAGTACTTCCCATTCATAATGTCAAAATTCCCATACCAAGAAACAAAATGGAAATAGAAAATGTCTGATTTCATTGTACAAGCTCCAAAACACCAAAGGACCAAATCCAGCATGTGCTACCCTACCTGAACAGCCACATTCTGCTTTCGCACATGTTCCATATTCTTCTCTTGATTGTTGTTTTTCTTTGGTTCAGTCTTTCTCTTATTGCTGTCTCTTTTTATCTCCATTTTGTTTGCACTGTCACTTCCTTTGCTAAAGTCCCGCCTATCCTTCACACCTTCTTTCTGGTGGTGATTCCGATTCTGTTCCCGTGGTTTAATATTCTCTTTGAAAGTAACGAGTTTCTCCCCACTTTCCGAGCTGTTGCCCTGAGTCTTGCCTGAAGACAAGACTGATTTTAACCCCTGACCAATCTCTGTGGTGGGTTCTGAAAAGGAAGAATCCAGGAGGATCAGTCCATCTGTGGACTCAGAATCCTCAACCAGTTCTGCGATGTTAGTTAGGAACAGTAGTTTGCCTTCCTCATTTTTGCTCTGGATAAGTCTGGAGAAAAAAAAAACACAATAAAATCTAAGCAAAAATATGCAATGAATTGGTTATGGAACAGTCTTTACGACAGTCAAAAGTTGCCAGCATATAGATTGTGGATATTTGAACAACTGAATTTGATGTGCAGTAGTAATTTAGTGGCATCACATACTGCTCCAGGTGACAGCAAGCATGCACGAGTGACTGACTGGAAACAGATACTACGACTACCAGCGCCATTTGTCTAGTTTTAATATAAATATCATAAAAGGATTCATCCTTTTTTATTTTCACCTGGCCTGACATCAAGCTTCTTTTTTTAAATTGCTCCTCAGAATATTCCATCAATAAAATTTATTCCACTCTTGGGAGGCCTTTTAGTTAAGTTGAGGCATCGAATGGTAACTGTCGACAGTCAATCTGAATGGCAGACTACTTTGTCACGCCATACCTGGAATGATTTTCTGCTATCCATTTTCCAAAAATAAGCAATCGCTGGTGCCGGGTCCTTAGCTGCTGGCCCTCTTTGTCCACTACAATTCCTTGGTGCCCCCTTGTGAAATCGAGATTCCTTTACAAGAAAGCAAAATGCAACAATATTAATGCAGAGAATGTGTCCTATTCATCACACCGTAACAACAATTTATAAATACAATCATCCTCTCAGTAATATACACGTAAATGTTAACCAAATACAACACTTCCAGTTTCAGTTGCTAATGAACATTTCATTAAAAAAAATTAGTTAGCCCAAATCAGTTACTAGTAAGAAAGCAGAGAAGCTTTTTTCTTGCTATCTTCAAAACTTAGATTGCACCAATACTCTTCAAATGTAGAAAGCATCTGGCACAAATGGCATGTCATCAGGGTTGCTTCGTATAATACTTCACATTTCCCTTTATCCGTCAGTTAATGGGAAACAAAGTCACAAAGCTATTCCTCCAATAGGTGTGAGAGAATGTATTGGACAGGAACTAACACACTGAAACTGTACCTTAATATCCTCTACCATCCNAAAAACCGGTACAGAATACTAGCCTTACTCATCACTTCAACTGTGGAACTGAGTAATGCCACAAGGGTCATGTTTGTGTATCCTGCCTCCAAATCAGCTTTGCTTCTGGTTACATTGCAAGCCAGAACGATGCCCATGTCAAAGCGCAGCTAAAGTCTGTGTCAAATGCACTCAGTTCACTAATACCCACCACACCATTACTGTTAAATATATTGTGCATCTGCAATAGATTTCAGCAATGCCATCAGCTACAACCTCAGAAGATAAACGTAGCATCAGCAGTCACACCATGAGTTAAATAATTTTGTTGCAAAAACAAATGTTGCTGGTTAAGTATTTTGATTAAGGACAAGCTTGAATTTGTACTCTAAACCTATTTTAAAATTTGCAAACAGCAGTGCAAGTACTTACATTGGTCACCCTGCCTGGGGACAATGCGCTTTCTCTGCCTGCTAATCCCCATTTACTGTTTCTCAGTGGGAGCACCTGCAGATACCTACTGTGTTGAAGCTAATCTTATTGCCTAAGTGAGAGCTGCAAAGTACCTCACAAACACATTAATGATTCATACAGACCATCATGTGCACATTTTCTGAAGTGGCACCAGTTGCACTCAAGTGACTGTTAGTAAAAAGCAACAATACAAAATGACAGTCTTCGCAACTACACTTGTGGATTTATTGTAGTTCTGTTTCATAAACAAAACAAGATTTTGAAACAGATCTGGACAGACTCCAAAACAGCCTGACACTTCAGTAATTGGTTACTGATAAATGCCATCACTGCATTTTCCATCTTTCCCGAAGGGTACTGAACACATTGTACTGGAAATGAATGGCAGCAAGATCTCCAAGCACTCTTGGCCTTCTCCACTAACACAATCCCTTCACATTCGTTTGCAAACTTAAAAAAACCTAAAGCTGGCTTGTCAGACTGTACACTGATTTCGGACCGAAATAGATATTATTTTTCTCATTCAATTCTTCTCACATCATTCTCTGGCAAAATAGGGCAGGCAGGTTAACTGTACTAAATCCCTTGCCAATAACTAACTTGCTTCCATGTCTGGAAAGTGGGCAAGAAACTCTAGGCAAGAACCTATGTCTCATGACACCGTGGTACAGCTGGTATAAGCACTACTGATATATAATCAGATGTGAAGGGATGACCATAAGGTGGATTGATGGACCATTTTTACCAACCAAGCAATATATTACAAAACCTTTCAAAATGCCTACAGATCACACATCAAAAATGGATGAATTGGATGTCTAAACAGAGGAGATCTGCATTTTTATTAATAAAATTGAAATTTGTACTAGGTTAGTGAATTCAAACCAAGCAGGAACCACTGTAATAATGATTCTTGCATTTGATTCAGTTGTCTTATCACTTTGTTGAAACAATTCAAGGTGCTTCATGTGATTTACTGCAAAGGGCATTGTTGACCAGGACACTGGGAGAATCCCTCTTCTCTTTTTGAATAGTGCCTTGGGATCATTAACACCCACCTGAACAAGCACCGACCTTGGCTCATCATCTCATGTGAAGGACAGCATCTCAACACAACACAGCATTACATTCCACTATGAGCTCAAAGTTCCAACGTGGGACTTGAACCCATAACCTTCTGATTCAGAGATGAGTGCTCCCAACTGAGCAACGACACCTTTTTTTTAAGCATTGCATTTGAATCTTCTGAAGAATATATTCAAATGATTTGCTTAAAAGGTTTCATTTTAAGTATATATGCAAATCACAAGCAACCTTTTTACTTTAATATATAACGTCAGATGTAGCAAATGTAGATTGCATTCAAATTGATGACTCAATAGGGAAGATATGTTTTTAGCAATTTAGGATTGCAACAAGCAAAATACAACAAACGTTTACCTTAGGGAAGGCCTGAGAGCAAGGAATCCCTGCAGCTCAAATTCTTCAGGAAGAGGAGTGGCTGTAAGAGGGAAAAATATATAATCTGTGTCAAAAGCTTGTTACATTTTCATTTTAAGACATTGCTGCAGAAGTCACTTTACTTTTTTAAAAAATTAATTGGGCACTCTGTACATTAGGTTTATGGTCTGCTGTTTTTTATTACAATGTCCGACAGTCCGACGAGGGATAACATGTCTACCTAACGCATTTCAAATTTCTGTTGAATCCAACTTCCGTCACTGCACAAATTATAACAATCATTGGAAACCCTACAGAAATAGATGGCCACCATGTGTCCTCAACAAACATTATAGACAAGTTCTAGAGGAAGACAATAATAATAATCCTTGCAAATGATATAGCGCTTTTCACGTCTTCGACATCTCAAAGCGCTTCACAGAATAGACTGTAAAGTGAATTGACTGTGTTTTGTGGGCGAAACGCAGCAGCCAATTGCGCACAGCAGCGTCCTAAAAACAGTCGTGGATTGAAATGACCAATTTATTAATGTTTTTTTGAGGGATTATTATCAGGCGTGTGAAGTGAGGAAACTTGCCCAAGGTTTTGCCTTGCCAGGCGAAAGATAGTCATTTTCCTTTCACTGTGAAGTGCTTTGGGTGAGCTATCCTCCCGACATGCAAGTGCTATAACAAATGCAATGATAATTTGTGGCTAGAGAAAACACAAAGCGCTTTACAAACCAGCTTGTCTTATGCCTCAATTCATTATCAATGAAAGTTCTTCCCTGCTTCTCTATAGTGAACCAGTCTGTTACATTAAACAGGATATCTGCTATCCTCTCACATTTTAGTATCCAATTACAACAACAATCCTGAGACCAGGTTTCCTGACTCAGCTCATGCTTGAAAGAGTGCGAGTATGATTAGAACTCTGTGTACCTTCATGTGTTGGTACCCAAATGACAAACCAAACACTTAGTTCACGCAAGTTGTTGAGCCTGAATGCAAAAAAAATCAAAAGTATTTCTTCCTGTGAAAGCTTCATGTCTTCAGCTTACCTATTTGGGTGCGGAACTTCAGAATAAATCATTCATCATGTCAAAAGTCTTTATAAAAAATAATAATCCCTGCATTTGATATAGAAACATTTCAAAACCCTCAGAAATTTTCTGTGAAGTTTAGTGACTGTGGGCAAACAAGCCAACCAATTTGCGTGCAACAGGTCACACAAACAGCGATGAAGTAAATAACCATTTTTAAAAACAAACTTACCATTAAAGCTACACAGCTCATCTTCTTGTGGATGAAAACTGTTCAGCAACGATACAACCCAGGGCCAAATGCTGCAAAAGAAACACCATAGGTACTAAAATATAAATAAATAATAAATATTCCTTGTATTTGATATAACACCTTTACTACAGCTAACAGGGAAAGCACTGATTCACCTGCAATGGTCCTCCTACCCAAACTATAGTGCTGAACAAGAGGAAACTAGAGACAGGTATTTTGACCAGATTATCAGAGCAGGAATTATCAGCAGAAAATTGTGATAATAACCCTTGCATTTGATATTTCATATCAGAAAGACATCTCAAACAGTATTGTAGTGACTGTATTTAGTACGCAAACCCAACAGCAATGTCCCACAAACAGCCATGAAGTAAAATGATCAATTTTGTCTGCCGAATTATAGACCAGCACAATGGAAAAAACTCCCTTCTCTTTCAAATCTTTATGATCCACTTGAAAAAGGGTTTAATCCAAAGGACAGCAGCTCCTAAAATTCAGCACACCACATTGGAGTCAAAAGACTAGATTGTAAGCATGAAAATCTGCATGAAATTTAAACGCATTTGTGTCATTAAATTGGCCATGAATACAAGCCAAATTAGAGCAAAAGCAAATTAATAGTTAACAATGGGAAAGGGCTGCATCTGAAATTATTAGTTACCAAAAAATAATACATTAATCATAACCACCAACTGCTTCAGAAATTCAATGTTTAGAGTGGGAACGTCAATAGCAATATATATTTGTTCTTAGAGCAATACTTACTGTTGCCTTTCCTCTAATGCACTCTCCTGAAAGACATTGGGTCTGAGTTTCAGCCAATCCAATGAAACTTTAACAGCTGGTAGCGGGCATTCACCCAAGATTTCTTTAAGATTCTCATCCTGTAATGCACACTTGCACATGACGCCAAGGAACGTCACTGGAAAACAGAGAGAGTGGAAATAAACAGAACAAACGTAAGCTACTACTAAAAAGATGTTTGGCACAAATCTGTACACCTGTCCACATTTACCTTTTCACTTCCCAAATATCATAGCTTCTGGGCAATATGAATGGGGACAATGTGTTCAAGGAATTTTGTGCTGTAATGTCACATGTACTGAGACTAAATCATTGTAAGAAACATCTGTCTGTGCTCGATGTTACCAAGGCTACAGACACAATTCTAGTTTTCTCACACTATAACATGCAGCTGCCTGCTTCCTGGGTTATTTTAATTCAATCTTGCAGAGACTCAGTTCATTTGGTCTCAGGTTTCAAAAAGAAATAATACTTTACCACATATATGATGATTTCTTAAATCATTGTTGCAAAGCAAGACTGCACAACATGGGAGAGAATTCAGTCCAGGCATATGACCGAAATACCTGTACTAACTGGAGGTGGTTTCAACTGTACGGTAAACTAGTTCTCTACTTATTGAAGTAAAACAATTCTATGTCACTTCTGTGACATTCACTTCAACAGCTTACCACTAAAGACCTAATTGCAGTAAAGATTTGCATGGAGTTACAGGGCTTTACATTCAAAAAAATGTTTTTTTTTAATCCATCTCATTTTGAAAACTGAAGCCTTAGTAGGTGTGGTGGGGGATTAGTGTCTGAATCATTGAGTAATATAAAAAGGAAATAATAAGAGAACAAAAATGTCGCTTTAGTCATTCCTCATCAACATAAAATCTTAAATAGGAAATATTTCCTGTTAGATTGATTCTAACGGTGAAATTATTTCAAGAGTAATCTTATTTTAAACATTCTAACTAATAACGGATAATTATTCAATGTTCAAATTTAAAACTGCATTAAAATAATGGCAATATTTTGCTACAGCATTTAATCTATGAATACCTGATCTGTCTGAAATAAAACACAAGTGAATGAGTTTGAATTCTTCCTCTTCAATGGGATCAAATGGCAATAAACTCAAAGATGGATATACAACTACACAAGCAACTATAGTAATCCATGTGTGGCAACTACCCTCCAATATACCTTCACATTCATCATTAGTACATTTGGGCTTATTCACTTTCAGCAGATTGGAATGCTTACTTTATCATTCACAAAGAATTTTTTTAATAAATCAAATTCGAATTGACGTTTTGCAAGTGACTGAAATTGTATTTAAAGAGCTGGGTAGAAGCGAAAAATGCACAAAAGCAACGTGGACACAAATGTCAACCTAACAAAAGTGAACCTAACATCTACAGAAAAATGTCATAGAATAATGACAAGGTCACATCATTTTAAATACCAACAAGCAGCCGAGTGCCACATACAAGGATTCCTGTTGACAGCACTAGCTTCCTGGTTTTGACTCCATCCAAAAATAATGACCTGATTACATATCAAATCTTCAGATTCAAGGCAGTTTTTAGACATGGGAACTTTTACAAAAATATTGTTCCCATTTCTAAAATAAAGGAAGGGGGGCAAAGAGGCAGAAACACAGTGGGTTTTACTCTTTTAAAAAGTTAGAAAAGCTGGAAAAGTGGTAAAATAAAACAGGGTAATAAACAAAGTGAGCAAACACATTTTAATATTCATTGAAAATGTTCCCAAATATTTGAATTTGAGATTACTACAGAAAGAAATTTAAGCAGCCTCGCTACTATGTGTTAGTTTTTCTCAGCTAAAAGCACAATGAATTAAGTTGCATTTTTCTAGACTAGTCACCATTGTAACGTTTATGGGATCTTCTGGTACTTAGCATGCATTTGTCCATCAATTTGGTTTGGCAGCACTTTAATAATAATCCTTGCATTTGATATATCGCCTTACCACATCTTCGAGGCATCTCAAAGCGCTTCACAGAATATACTGTAAAGTGAACTGACTGTATATTTTGTGCACAAACACGTGGCACAAGTGTTGATTTACATCGGAGAGACACCCAAATACTCATACTCAATGAGTACTAAATTTGCAAACAGATTTGAGCTTGGTTTGAACTGAAACTGCTTTGATTGTGTTTTCCTTAAGTCACTTTCTGTGCAATGTTTCTGTGAAAGAAGTGACCGGATAACTTGGAAGGTGGCGAATTTTTTTGCATTTAGCTCATTACAATTGTTGAGACATAGGACCCAGCCAACCACATGGAGGGTTTTCTGTACATACAGTTCAGGGACTATCCTGGTAAACATGTTTTAGAATAAAAGTGAATGTTCAGATTACAGAGCAAACTACGATTTGATTAGTTTAAAATATTCATCAGGGTGTCTTTGAGGTACTTCAATTGGTATTCAAAACACCAAGTCAGACACGTAAGGTGCGATTTCACTGCCCTACTTCAAAGCTGGGGCTAGATAAATGTCAGCCATTAACCATTCTCTATTAGCAATATTGCTACTCCTATTATGACACAAAGTTAATTCTCAGTATACTTTCTTTGGGCAGTTAAACATTATACAATTTTCCTTTTTAAGTCTCCATCCTTGAAGACACAGAGAAAGTTCTGGGATTCAGATGACATCATATAAATTCCTTCAGAACCCTTCACAACTCTGAAAATCCATGACCCAGCTACAGCCTTCAACTTCTTTCCAAGCAACTATACATTTATTGTTGGTTCACATATTAAGTGTGCTGTCTGTAAGCCGTTACGAGCTGATTGCCATGGACCCGGCATTACATGACAGATCAAAGGGTACAAAATCCTTTGTTTTGCACAACTACTAACAGGTTTGATCATGCAAATGTAATAGATCATTTAACATACAGTTATGATTATATAGTAGCCAAGATACCAGGGTAGAGGTAGGTACAAAAATATGGATAATTTGAGCTGGTCAGTCACTCCTGAGGTGGACCACACTGTTTTTCCTTAAACCAATGAATGATATGTTGGGCAGCTAAAATATTATATTGCCACATAATAATCTGCAGAGGTTTTTTTAAAAAAAATCTTACTGAAGAGGCCAAGGAGTTGCGTCCAGCAAAGTAGTTCCTCCTCACTATAGCTCTGGTCATCAGCCTCCGTGCTAAAATCCCGCAAATGGTGCAATTCAAACAGTTGATAACTGTGAGATGTACAAGCTGCTGAGAACTGAAAGCCTTCTGCGGAAGAAGTTTCTGTAAACAAACAAATCTAGATAAGAATTACAAAACCAAAAGGATAAATCGTTACAAAGACCATCATAAGTATTGTGTCAAGTTTTGGTCATCCAACTTTCGGAAGAATGTAGAGAAACGTTTAGAGGAGATTTACTAGGATACCAGAAATGGGTGGTTTGATATATAAGCAGAAACTAAATCAATTTAGCAATAATTTTAATTTGTTTTCTCTTTAACGACATTTCCCAAGCTAAGAAAATGTTACAAATTCCCCAACTATTTTCAAATTTCTCCGTTGTAGTAAAAAGTCCAAAAGAACAAGAATGAGCAACACGCATACATTCTGTTTTAGCAAATGCAACACTGGGAACTTGCTGTAGAAATTACAATACACTGCATTATACATCTTACCTTGAATTGTTCCTCCAGCCTCTCTCTCAGTCCACACAACTTCTCTAAACTTTTAGCCAGATAGACATGTCCATGGAACTTAATAAAAGCCTTTATGAAGTCAGAAACATTCCACTTTGTCTTCACATCGTCACGGCTACAAAAGAATAATATTAACTGAATTAGCAGATAACTGCTAAATCCTTAGCTACTCGCTGCTTACTTTGACCAAATTAGTATCCTTAGCCTCAAATGCTGTTAAATCTGCCATTTGCTTTGCTTCACTCTCAAAGCTAAAATAGCAGGCCAGACTTCTAATTGCTAGAATCCTCATTTGAGATACGAGTATATTTAAATTATTTTGGGCATTACAAAAATAAACATGATTTAAAACACTGAGTTAATTTTCTTTCCCCTTCCTAATGGACCAACCATCTGGAGAGGAGGCAGACAGGCTGGCTACAACTCGGATTCAGCTACTTGTACTCTGCCCTCACAGATCATGTCCTCAAGATTATTTCCCTCCCCTCATCCTTTCAGTAGAAAAGCACCTAGCCTTTGTGGGGTGACGTTAACCGATGTCCTAGAGTATATAACTTGGTGGCCTGCAGGTGCAAACTATGTCCTGTCACTCTGTTGAACACATTGATAAATACATTCCTTCAATCAACAAAACCTCAATGTTTATAACCCGGATAAGTGAATTTATATCAAAATAACAAAACAAGGAGAATGGATAAATACTATAAGCTACTACATGAATTTGAATAAGGATTCCCGGCATGCAACATGTATGTTTAAGTCTACTCATGAGACTTTTAAATAGATTTTTTTGCTCTTTGCTCACCTCTCCAAAGCCTTAGAAAGCGCTTTCTGCAGATTAGTGGAAGCAGCTGGGAAAGGAAATTTGACAGCAATACTTCTGCAATAGTAGAAGATTGTTGTAAGGTGATCACCTTTAGAGGAAGCCAGGATTGCCAGCTGATTATACGGCTGACCTGAAATAGAAAAGGTGACAAGTAACATAATGAAATAGAACACACTGGCAAAGATTTAGACTGAAATGTCACTGCTCCATTTTAAACGACTTATCCTACATACCCACTCACCTGGGTATGTTGGATTACCTACCACAAGCATTCCTTCAAGGCCCGTCTCAAGACCCCCCTCCTTTTCGACCTCGCCTTCGGTCACCCCCTATCCCTACCCTCCCTACCCTCCACTCCTCCTGATCCCAATCCCAGCTTGGGTCTAAATCCCTGATAATGCAGCAACTTCATGCTATACAAATACAATTTGTTGTTGTTCGTCATTTAAAAAAAAAATCGATCTTCACAAGCAAATAAGACTGTCGCCCACCATAAATTAAAAGGGCAGAAAATAATAAAGGAATTTAATACCATGCCTTATGATGTCATTTTCATCAGGCTATCTCCCAATGTTAGATAAGCCTGATTATTAGAATTCATTTTTAAAATAGTATTCAGTCCACTGTAGCTAGAGTTTAAACTTTACTCCCGAGTAACTGTAAAAAAGATAGATGGATAATAAGATAGAGCTTACCATTGGATGGAACAAGTTGAGCTGCATGCCTGTAGTAAGACTCAGCCTGGCTGGTTTGATTTCTGTATCGAGCTGTAAGCCAAAGAACAAAAACATCAGGGAACTCACATCTTCAACATCAACATGGCTGACAAGAATAGTAAGCCGATTATCCCCATATTACTTGCTCACCAATTTACTTGCACAAAATTGGAATTCATTCCTACATTGTTCATCCCTGTGGCCCTTTTACTTGGTCCATTGATTTACTGCCACATTTCAGAAAATTTGTGATGCAAACTTGGCACCTACCCACCAAAATCCTTTTCATTTAGAGAAGATTGTTACAGAAAACAGACGGACGCTTTCATCCCATCAATCTGGGCTGGATTGGAATTCAGGACTCAGGATGCTGCTCTTTCACCTCTACCACACTGATGCCCTTGTTTACTCATTCACTCACTTGCTAAAACATTCAAAGAAAAGCTTGGGGAAGTAACTTCAAGTACACCACCATTTGCATGCCTTTCCAACAATTACTGGACAAGCATCAAACAATCCATTTTCTAAAATGAGTGCACTGAAAAGCAGTCCCCCCATCCCCACTCCCCATGGCTTTCTTTCTCATTTGAGGACACTCAAGTAACATTGATCTAAGTTTTCTGAACACTGCTAAGTAGGTAAGGAGAGGATTTCTACAAATGTCAGCAATTTCTCAAAACTTCTGAAGTTATTTGTAGTTTTCAAACATGGAACCTAAGGTTCAGCGAATGCAGAATTAGAACAAAATTCAGAAAGCTTGACCCCTCCTTCAAATACACCATTGACTTGAGCATTCATGCCGAGTCCCTACTCCTGACTCACGTATCATAGAATATTACAGCACAGGAGACCATTTGGCCCATCATGCCTGTGCCGACTCTTTGGAAGCCAGTCCGACTCCACTGCTCTTTCCCCATACACCTGCAAATTTTTCATTTTCAAGTACCTATTTAATTCCCTTTTGAAAGTTGTTATTGAATCTGTTTCCACCACTTTTTCAGAAAATGCAGTGCATTCCAGATCATATCTAATGGTTGTCCCCCTTGGGGTGCATATATATTATTAATTCCAGGCCTGGTTGTCTACAATAGCTGCTGACAATCACTTCAACGTTTCATGCAAATATTGAATTTCCATAACTAAATTTACGGATATCAGTGATTTCGTAGTGATTTGAAAGTTTAACATCATGTTTATAGTCTTTAAATGTGCAATTTTTAAGATTCATTGATCACAGAATTAAAACTCTTAGGCAAGGTATTAAAGGTTAGCTATGGAATTCTAACCCAGTAAAAGGACACTGGATCCAAATATCTTCAGGAGAGAGGCAAGGAGCAAAAATCTACTTCCAGGCATTTTTTAAAAAAGATGAAGAATGAAGAGTGCAAAATAAACATGTAATATCTCGTGTTCACCAGCACTAATAGATTCAAATAGTCACATGGAATCTCTAGCTAACTACTCATGTACTTTTAATTTAGTCATGACAAACTAAGTAGAAAACATCTCTCTGTTTAAAGGGCAAGTTCTGACAGTCACCGCAAGAACTGACTGGAACGAGATTTGAGGGAGTTGAAATACTTGAAAATAATCATTAACACAGGATGCTTCAGCGACACAGCCATGCCCATTGTTGGATGAGTAACTCGTCTAAGACAATTTCCCAATGGGATCATCCTACCATGTAATATCTGAGTCTAAATACAGGTTGTCAATTTTCCTAAAAGACATCTTAAACAGACTCACATGGGTGGAACCATAGAGTATTTCTGAACTTTTAAAAGCTATAAATTGGCTATGTTTTTCATTTTGGCACAGAAATGTTACTTCAGCACATTTAGATAGTTGTGTCATTCATTTTCCTGTTAGTAAGTTAGTAGTCTTTAAATATCCAACAAATTGGCTGGCATTGCCATCAACTGCTCAAATTGCCTATTCCATCATATACATATTGCCCCCAACCAATGCTTTAACATACCTATGTCTCCGAGGTGAACAAGGCAGTGCTGGCAGATATAAGAGCAAGAACTAGGTTGGGGCTTCACAATGCCACTGGTGCTGCACTGTTTATTGCTGATAATTCCTAGCTCTGAGGATTTAACACGACAGGGAAGGTCCACGTTGAAAACCGTGCACAGCTCCTGCAACAACTGAAAGGAATTTTTAAAACACAAATTATAAATGGTCAATATTATACTTAAAATTCAACAATCAAACTTTAAGACTACAATATAAATTGTTTTCATCACTGAAATCAAGATCACACAATATAAACTTTACACTAATGGAAAACTAATATTTGAAGCCTACTAAATTGGTATAAGCATTGATTTAGCAATTTACCTTTGTCGATTAGAATCAAAATTCCAACTTCTGATGCCCCCTATACCTTCCTTCAGTAATACCACGTCCCCACCCCGAACCCCCCCAAAACCTAACCTTGGATATTCACTTAAAAAATAATAATTTGGTCACTCAATCCACGATTGTTTGTGGGAAACTGCTGTGTGCATTTGGCTGCCGTGTTTTCCCCAAACTCAGTATTCATTAAGCATTTTGGTGTCTCTCTGATGTAAATCAACACTTTTGTACCACGTTTCGCCCACAAAATATACAGTCAATTCACTTTACAGTATATTCTGTGAAGCACTTTGAGACGTCTAGAAGATATGAAAAGCGCTGTATCAAATGCAAGGATTATTAGTATTATTATCAAATGCAAGGATTATTATTATTATGTCTGCGATGCTGCTGTGCGCAAGTTGGTAGCCACATTCGCTTACAAATACAGTCACTATGCTTTACAGTATATTGTGTGAATCACTTCCAGTAAAGATTTCCGTGGTTCGGAACCCCAATGGCTTTCAAACTCACACAATCTCTTAGCTAGCAATCCTCTTACCCAATATTCCTCCCAATCAGCATTTTCCTCTGTTCGTCTGTCCGTGGCTAAATATTTCCAGGCTTCTGAAGCTCAGATTAAACTCATTTCATTCTCACAGTGAATCCACAAGTTTTATCTCTGCACTTACCTGTGTGTAGAAGCCACTAGCTGCCTCTAAGAAGAGTGAAAGGTTGGCCTGTACCTCGCTACGATTCGGATTGGCTCGATTCTTGGCTTGACCCTGTAGTGTAGTAATTTGATTTTTGAAGGCATGATTCCAACTGTAGATCAGAAAATTAGAAGAGATGAATTCATTGTACAACATCATATAAGAACTATATTAAAAGTCTTAAAAAAAATAAAAATCCAGCAAAACAAAGTCTTAAAAAAGGGTTTTCTTACAGGAGAGCTAAATACTGAACCAGTAATAAAGGAGGAGTCATGAATTAAGTCATTCCCTCCATTACATTACTCATTCTTTCTTTAATTACCAGTTTAGTCCCTTATTTGTTTATAACTTCTAGGACATAAGATTTTTATGAAAAAAAAGGAATAATTTGGCCCTTTCGTTAATTACAATAATTTTCTTGCCCCTTTTCTCTTTTCTGCAGCCGATCAAGTCAGATTTGTAGGTTTGAACCAGCCGACAGATAAAAAATGACGAGAAGGAAATAATTGTATAGAGGAGCAAAGATAAGGATATCAGCAATATTTCTACAACATAACTCTGAGTTTCAGTTTACTCGATTCTGGACATTCTGCAACGCTTTAGTCTCAAGAGTCTTCAAATTCAGAAGACTAACTCTGCTGGTTAACAGAGCCCAGCTTTGATAGATCTCTAGAGCCAAGACTGAACCATTTTGGGGCCTCTATAGTTCAGATGTACTAGAAATCAACATATGGTTATGTCAAAAATGAAAATACTATCCCAAACCAAAAGATTTTTGTATTTCTAACAGTAATGAAATAGAATGAAGATATCTATTTCCACCTGAAACGTATTACATACTTACAGGTCTTGCTCCACCTTCTTATCCAGTGCATACTCCAAGTCTGTGACCAACATTTTCTGGTAAAGGTCCTGCAGAGCTTGTCTGGATGTCCAGACCTCAGCTGGACCCAGCTTTGAATCTGCTCAGAAAAACAGCAATAAGTACAGACTTTTTTTTAAAAAAAAGACTATTTTCCCATACATATGTGTGTGTATTTCTTTCTCGTTTCATTCTGCATTATAAAATGTTGGGAAGAAAAGTTTGGAAAAGATCATATACGTAAAAACAGTGGATTAATATCAAAATTGGAAAGATCCTACATTAGTCGATAACTTGGACAAATGGAAGACCTACTTACAAATGTTAATTCATTCACACACACAAACAAACAAAGCTGCAGAATTTCCAAACCTAAAGAAAATTAATTGAAGAGCTGAGATGGAGTTTTGGGTTTGTTAATCTGTCACTGATAGCAATATCGGCAGGATTCAGGCTTGTTTCAACAGTGAGGGACATACATGATAGCTTAAACATTGACAACGGTTGTTTAATGCTAATGGACAGTGAACAGCATAATAGTTTACTGCAGAAAAGACACAGAACGATTCTGCATAATCTTAAGGAAAGACAGCAATTAAGGATGACTAGAGCTAGTTTGGTGAGTATAAACAGATGAATGAAGTGCAAGATTATTAATAAGGTGATAAGCTGCAAGGCTATTGAAAGCAATAGAAAGCTAGGGAACTATGAGGTTCACCTTGGAGCTCTGCCAGTGGGGGAAACCTTGCTAATCACAATTCTTGTCACATTTTTAAAACCCTGCAAATAGAAATGTCCTAAGAACAAATTGCTCTTTTAAAAAAAAAGTATACAAAATTGTACTACTGAACATGCAATCCCCTGTGGTATACTAATGTAAGTCTAATGTAGTGTGAGAAAAGGAGCATTTGCAAAAACCGCAAAAGGAAAACTTCCATTCAGGTAATGGAACTAAGCATTTCACGCTGTTCCTGCCACCGAATGTAACACTAGTACATAAAAACTTCATAGATTCCCCCACTCCCCAAAAAAGTAAAAAAATGTAACCTTCTTCATTTGAATTTACTCCACAACTGGAATACAAACGCTTTCCTTAGGCATTTTAATGAATTACCTATGAAACATAATGCTTTCTAAAGGTGAATGAGAATAACCCAACCTAACTTTGGCACTGTGATTGGGCCTCAACCAACAGCATCTTACCATTGGAGGCTTCATTTCACGGGATCCCAAATTAGCTCAAAATCGAGTATCTTGTGAAGTGCATCAAGGATAATCAGTGCATCACATTTTTTACTTGTGTCTTAAATAAAGATGATAAATGCTATTCAGGTGGGCATTTTCTTCTAATTTTGGGGGAGTGTGAGAAAAGGAGCATTTGCAAAAACCGCAAAAGAAAAATTTCCATTCAGGTAATGGAACTAAGCATTCTTACTAGTCTAGTTATGTTATCAATCAGTCCCAATTACAGGGACATAGATGGATTCTCACACACACACACTCACTCAGAAAAACAACTTTCATTTGACAAGGCGCTATATGCTACATCCTTAACTCAAGTTTTTAAACATATAATGCTATGTTCCGACCATTCTGAAACTTAGTCAATCAGAGTCCTTTCCACACTTGTGACCGGTCACTTTAATTCCCATATGTGACAGTCACAGCAGGTTGACTCAATCCTCTGGAGGATGGGGAGCCTGTGAAGTCGGGCAAAGATAGGGGTGATCGGCCCACGGAGCTTAGTGCGGAAAGTTCATGAGCTGCAGAGTTCTGAATATTCTGCAAGTAAGGGAAGAGTTGGGAAGACTGGAGAGCAGGGAGTTGCATAGGCAATCTTGGATGTTACGAAAGTGTGGATGACAGTCTCAGCAGCCTGATGGGAGAGGTAGTGGGAGGCAGAAATGGGAAATGTTGCGGAGGTAGGGGAAGGCAGATGTGGGGTCATGGCATGGCTGTGAGGTTTTAAAGACAGTTGAGACTTGAACCAGATACCAAAGTTCTGTACTGGCTCAGTGAGGTGGAGAGTGCTTCCATGGATAGTGATGCTGCAAGACATTTTGATATTCATCGCAATGTCTTTTCATGTCAGCTCATTTTCCAGAGGAATGAGCCTATGAGGTAGCTTCAGCAAGCCCAATCTAAGCTGCTTCAATCAAGACCATGTTTACCTTTGAAGCTAGATACTACAGCTTTTGATAATAGCACAATATTTGTGCTGTGGTTCATGACCTGGGCGCCCTACCAGTTATCCAATTAGTTACCTCTGGCATCTCAATACAACTGCTTGGATATAATGGTCAGATGTCTGAATTACTCATCACTAAGTAGTTAGAGTAGTCATTGTAATGTCCCATTCAAATCAGATGCCCTACTTATACACATTTTTTTGGAAAAAGAGTCTTACCTGTCATGTCAGCCTTTAGGGCCTCTGCCTGCCTAGAAAGAGGGAAGAAGAAAAATGTTAAAATAAAAATAATCATCCCTTTCTCATTGAAAATCTTAAGCTGGTTACACTTTCATTAAGTACAATTTTTTTCTGGTAATATTTTACACTTGGAGAGATTAGAAAGATCCCATCTACTCTCTCACTACAGGGTAGCTCAAATGGAAGATACATAGTTCCATGCATGCACAGTAATATATAGAATAGCTGTATTAGATACAAATAACAACAAATTACATTTATCTAGCTCCTTTCATATCAGATGGACATCCCAAGGTGCTGGGATACCAGTACTAAATACCAATTAATTGGCATCAATGATGAATAGCTTCAATGTGTTGAAGTTGGGAAATAATTTGAAAGTTTGCAACAAAGACAAATTGAAGTTAAACTCAATATTAAGATCTCCTATGTAAACACCATCAAAACAAATTATGAGTTTAGCAGACTGACAAACTCACCTCCAGGAACTTTCGTTGTTACACTGAATACAGTATTTCATATCTAAACAAATTCCCTAGCAATCTGCCTTCCTAAGGCGGGTGTTTGCAACTTCACCATCACCCTGTTGATGGAGATGCAATGCTGTTGTTGGAAACGTGCACATTTGTGGAGTCCTGTAGCTCAGTGGTTAGAGCACTCGCTTTGCAAGCGAGAGACCCGAGTTCAATTCCAGGCAGGACGAAACCTTGGGCAAGTTTCCTTACTCCACACACCTAATAATAATCCCTCCAAAACCAAAAACAATAATAAATTGGTCATTTTCAATCTACGACTGTTTGTGGGACATTGCTGTGCGCAATTGGCTGCCGCGTTCGCCCACAAATATACAGTCAATTCACTTTACAGTGTGTTCTGTCAAGCGCTTTGGGACGTCCTCCCGACGTGAAAAGCGCTATATCAAATTCAAGGATTATTATTATTATTATAGACAAGCTGCAATCTTTCCCTGTTGTAACTAATCTCAAACACATTTAATATTTCATCACAGTGAAGATGCTGACCCATTAATGATACCAAAAAGCACATCATAGAAACCAAATAACTTTGTGCCAGCTTATTTTTACATCTCCTGAAGCCAGGACAGTACATTAGCCGCATCCTTGCCTGGAGGGAGACTTATAAAAAGATTGTATAAACCCTCATTCCTCAAAACAAGAAAACTGTTTGTACAGATTACGTCAGCACTCACACTCTACCAAGTAGTTCAGGAGCAGTGAAATCTGGCTGCAGTAAATTGTGGCAATGTACCAGTGTATCCTTATTTCACTTGATGAAATAAACAGTTTGATTGTATTTGCCAATAATAGAATACCATGATGAATCCAATTTTGCAAGGATATACATTCTGCCAATCACTGAGTATATGAAGAATGAAAAATTGTAACAATGGCAGCCTAAACAGAAAAAACAATAAGCTATTCAAAAGCTGCATCAGCTTTTAAAAGCAAAATGACACTTTGGATATGCATATAGGCACTGCAGTGCTCTCATGCAATGACCCATAAGAATAGGCCAGTAAACATTTATTCCTTAGATCTAGCCAATAATTTTCATGTTTTTTCTCATGGCTTTTGTAGAACATTATGCCAAACAGCTGTTCTATTTCCCTATAAAAACAATCCCTACACTTGTCGGTGATTACTGTTTCGCCTAGAGACATTTACGTAAGATGCTATAAAAACTTAGTTGTTCACGTCTTTCACATGAAATCTAATGATTTTCCAAAATCTAAGTACAAAGATTTTTTTAAAGACACGACTCCACTTTCTGTGTAATTTGCAACATGTTTGAGTAATCAAGTTTGGATTCACATAAAACGTACCCTTATTATAGCATTTGAGTAATTAAAGCTGCAATATCAGAAAACAACAAGCTTTACTTTAACCAAATGAATGTTTAATACTGTCTGCCTTCAAGCAGTTACTCAACTAAGCTAACAGGAAAATAAAGACACATGACTGTATCAAAAGGTAACCACTGTTTTAAGAGAACTGTTAGGAGAAATACTCTCATAATCTTTCCAGAGCTTACAAGTTGACCCCACCAGTTGCTGAGAGCACAGATATGATCTGGAAAAAGTGCACTTGGTGCATCGTTAAGGAGTACATCTCTCCTTTGGTCCAATGGACTTGTGAAATGGTTTAGCTTGGAATCAAGTATTATTAACTGAGCAAAAATCAAAAGTAAAATAAATCATTTTATGTATCTAATTTAGATGTGAGACACCGTGGCTTTAACTCACATTACTTGAGACCTGTTTGGCACTCTTCCCACTGCAGGTTCTCATTCAGGGAGATGCCAGATGGCTTGCAGCTGTGAGTGGATTTAGACAAGAGTGGAAGTGGCACTGCCATGGTGGTGTGCAACAAATGCATTCAGGTTTGTGTTTCAGTTGTAATAAAAGTTGAAATTTATGCAGGTAAGAGGTCTGAAACTAGACAGAAACAGAGATCTGGAAGAAACCCCGGCCCAATATCCTTCCTATCCGACTTAGAGGGCAGAAAAGACCCAACACATTCTGCAGAAATATCGGAGACTGCTGTTCTGACCTGGTAGGCCAATTTGTTGTTCCAGGATCATTCTCCAAAATAATGGTTGGAGTTCATCAGGGAAGAGAGAGAGAGAGGGGGGGGGGAAGAGAGAGAGAGGGGGGGAGAGAGAGAGGGGGGGGGAGAGAGAGAGGGGGGGGAGAGAGAGGGGGGGGGAGAGAGAGAGGGGGAGGGGGAGAGAGAGAGGGGGGGGGGAGAGAGAGAGAGAGAGAGGGGGGGGGGGGAGAGAGAGAGGGGGGGAAGAGAGAGAGAGAGAGGGAGGGGGGGAAGAGAGAGAGGGGGGGGGGGGGGGAAGAGAGAGAGGGGGGAAGAGAGAGAGGGGGGGAGGAAGAGAGAGAGGGGGAAGAGAAAGAGAGGGAGGGGGGGGGGGGGGGAAGAGAGAGAGGGGGGGGAGATGATTCTGTATTATTTTCCGAGAACAGGAAACAGCTGCAGTGCAGCATGACCGACTGGTTTATTACAAAGCACTCTGTGTGCAGCACACACAGGGCAGAGCTCCCGGCACAAGCTCTCGGAATAGATGGATCCAACTGTCCGGCTGATTGGCCGCCAGACGCCATTTGTTGTCATGACAGCACCATTCCAGCCAGGAGACACGGACCCGGGACGTCACAGTTACTATGCCGACAGTCCCCGGGGAGGGGGGGGGGGGGGGGGGGGAGAGGAATCCACCGGCGATGCAGCGGGAAAAAAACCTGCAGGAGTCCGATCTACAAGGTCAAAATACACCGCGTACGGCAGCCAGCAGCAAAACCAGCAGCTAAAAGCAAATACTCTCAAAGCTCCTCCATTCTAAAAATGCCGCCTCTCCCTCCCGCACGTACCCCCTCTCCCCCCCCCACCCCCTCTCCCCCCCCCCCACCCCCTCTCCATCCCCCGCAAACCAAAAACATCTTAAAATTGTGCATCGCTTTCGGAAAGGCTGAGAAAACAATCGAATGCTGCACATAGATAGATGGCTGCATGATACGGTACACACCAGGCAGCGAGGTCTTCCCACTATCTCATGATTTGCATGGCTGGGGGGTGGGGTGGGGGTGTGTGTGGGTGTGGGGGGGGTGTGTGGGGGGAGAGGGGAATGTACGTAAATGTGTCTCATTAGCGGCAGAGCAGCGTCACCATTCGGGGCGGTGCTGAGCTCCAATCAGCATAGCCGTGACAGCCAGCGTGGTGCTGGCACGATGTGACTGGCCCTCTGATTGGCTGAGCGCCGCCGTTGGGAACACAGGGCACAGAGAGAGAGACAGAGGGGACGGGGCACCGGCGCCGCGTCCCACTTTGACCGCCGCGGCGCCGGCACACGCTTTGACCTTCCCTACAAAACACACACACGGCGGGTGGTGGGAGCGGATCGGACTCGATGCCACGTTGGGACATCGGCAAAGAAGGAGGAACAGGGCGAGGGGGGGAAGCAGCGACTCGCCGCGGTGCTCTCGTCTCGTTCACGCACACACACACACACACACAAGACGCGGTGCTCTGGACTGCACAGCGAAGAGAAGCTGTTGGCGGAGAAATCAGGGACTCTTTGCCGACCGGAGCCCGAGTGGAAGGAATCGACTTCACCCATCCGTTATTCCATCCGATTCTCTGCGAGCACATTGCCATGTAAACAAACACGTGTGCGTATCAGCAACAGCGGACAGAAGTCTGGGAGAGCAGGCGCCAAGTGGTGACTACAACAGCCGAAAGGGAGAGGCATTTTGGGGGTATAATAATAATAATAATCCTTGCATTTGATATAGCGCTTTTCACGTCGGGAGGACGTCTCAAAGCGCTTCACAGAATAGACTGTAAAGTGAATTGACTGTATATTTGTGGGCGAACGCGGCAGCCAATTGCGCACAGCAATGTCCCACAAACAGTCGTAGATTGACAATGACCAATTTATTATTGTTTTTGGTTTTGGAGGGATTATTATTAGGCTCTGTGGGGTAAGGAAACTTGCCCAAGGTTTCGCCCTCTGCCTGGAATTGAACTCAGGTCTCTCACTTGCAAAGCGAATGCTCTAACCACTGAGCTCCAGGACTCCACAATGCATCTGCATGTCTATTGTCAGCCTCCCTTCTTAGGAGATGCACAGGAGCAACGACTGTCTGTTCGGGAGCTTTTCCACACAAAATAACAGCTGATAACCAGGCACAGATTTGAGGAAATACTCCAATAAAGTACTATCACATCAACTAAAACACGACCAGTCCACCACACGGGCACTTGGGCCGCGACCGACTTCACAGAGCACTGACTGTGTTAAGACACAAAGCCCGGGAACAGTTTACTTTCCGCACCGAAAAAAACACCGTCAGTGAAGCAACAACCGGGTTCGGTGGTAAAGTGTTCTACAATATGAAAGAAAAATCCTGCAAGCGGCATATTATAATCCTTGCATTTGATATAGCGCTTTTCACGTCTTCTAGACGTCTCAAAGCGCTTCACAGAAT